AAACTTCAAAGCACTTTATAAAATAAATAGGTAAATAAACCCAACTTTGATGTAGCATCCCCACATGGTCACCTGAGTCATGCTGTATTCATACAGGTGACTAGGTCAGTGGCCATTGAAAGCTGACACTTGTTAAATATTTGTGGTGCTCTGAATTATTGTTGGAGCAGGCCTAGGGAGAAATCTTAGGCATTTGGAAGCTTGGCGCAGACTCCTAGAAGCTTGTTATCTTTACCAGTTTTGCGTATGCTATATCAATAAGGAATGCAAGCATAAGGTGACCTGTTGTATAATCCTGTGCTAATCACATGCGTTTAAAGTTCAACCCTTAGATTTCATTAGAATGTAGTTTCAACTATGCCTTTGATTTGCACTCTTGGTCCAAAACCTCAATATTTGTATTGGGTCTAGTGTTAGCATACACTGTTAGAGTAGCCCCTCTCAAATTAATCAAGAAGACTGACTCAAGTCCATTAATTTCAATAGGTCTCCTCTACATAGAACTTAGTTGGATGCCACCCATTTGAGTCCTTGTATTTTATAAAATAGAATTGTATATTCTCCTTCCCAAGATGACAAGATGTGCAATGGTTTTCATTTGAAAACTATGGTGTGGACTTCCTAAAATGTAAGAAAAGGCCACCAACAATTTCCCAGGCATTCCTGGTTGGCTCTTTTAAGCTACCAAACACCAAGACACACACCCCTGCTTCCCAAGAGCAGCTATTGTGATCTGATTTCATTACAGAATAGATGTGAGATTTGCAAGCTGTTCTGGTACCCTGCATGAGTTGTGTAGCTGCTTCACTCTTCACTCTTGGTAGAACCGCAGTTAGACCTGCAATTGTAAATAAGTGCAGCATAAAATGGGCAGTAAAATTCATTGTATAGGAATAATCTCACTTGGGGAATCTTAAATGTGGCTTGGTTTTTATTTTCTACCTCTCCTGGATTTCAGATCATCTATTTAAGCAATGATGTATGTGGGGTACATTGATGTTTCAGAAGCACCAGCGTTTCTCTTCTTGCTTCACTACATGCATTCTGTAAAAAAAATATTACATTAAATTTCACAGGGTGGTTGGTCATGGGGCAAATCTGTTTTACACTGAAGTGTCATTTCAGGCTAAAGAGAATGTTCAAGAGTGGAGTGCAAAGATGTGCATGGCAACTCTGTTCACTGTATTAAGATGACCACTTTTGATTAGAATTCAGTGGTGCCTCGCAAGACGAAATTAATCCGTTCCGCGAGTCTCTTCGTCTTGCGAAGCACGGCTATTAGCGGCTTAGCGGCTATTAACGGCTTAGCAGCTATTAGCGGCTATTAGCGGCTTAGCGGCTATTAACGGCTTAGCGGCTTTAAGAAAAAGGAAACAAACTCGCAAGAACTCGCAAGACGTTTCGTCTTGCGAAGCAAGCCCATAGGGAAATTCGTCTTGCGGAATGACTCAAAAAACGGAAAACCCTTTTGTCTAGCGAGTTTTTCGTCTTGCGAGGCATTCGTCTTGCGGGGCACCACTGTTGTTTGATTTAAATTGTAGAGCCTACTTTACAATCTCATTTATGCTAGCTCTTGATTCTTTGTGGAAATAGTTCCCTCATCCTTCTGTATGTGAGGGACAAGTGAGTAGTAGTACTTAGTTGGATACAACTCCTTGGTTGCTACACTGGGATAGTCTAGTTAGTCCTGATAATCTACTATGGCTTTTTGAAGGAATCCTTAAATATAAATTTTGTACAGAGAGGCTATTTGTGGCTAAGTAGATAAATAGATTCAGTTTACAAAAAGAACCAGTTAGAAAGAGCATCCAGTAAGCTCTCTGATTCAAGTAACCTCTCTGTGGGTGTTTAAAATAATGAATTCTCAGGTGTTCCTTTCCTCTCTATAAGGAGACTAGGGAATACTTCAATGAAGAGAAGTTTGTAATAGGCTAAGCAAAGCCAGAAGATGTTCAGCTACCCATGAGTATAAGGTATGTTAGGGGCAGCTATGTTAGGTCTGTAGCTATCTTGGTAGTGAAGCTGCGTGACTCTGTTAGCAGTCTAAAAAAGTCTGTAGGCAGCTATTATAATTTTAGTTGGCTACTGTTAAGGGATATAGTGCCTTATAAAATAGATGTTTATTTGGTTGCCTGTGGTGTTAAAAGTTGCTTCCATGTGGCTGGACTGTGAGAAGCTTTTGAAAAAGTTGATCTCTCATGTAGTTTACAAGTGCCTACAATAGAGATATTAAGATGATCAAGCTAGTAAATGTTACGGATTATTTGCAAGGCTGCTACAGTTGATAAAGGCCAAATACTAAATGCAGAGTAGAATCTAGACTGGAGTAAAATGTAGAGTGCAGCATCTATGCTGTGGATCAACTCTTTTAAAAATAATGTGCAGAACAGTGCAGATCACCTTTTGTTTGGAAAGAACAGTGGTGGTGGAAGTCTGTGCCATCACTGTGGTTGACCCGAGGTTTGCTTCTTGGAAATGGAAGATGGAGCAGTGGCGACAGAGAAAGTGTCTACCATTTTTGTCTGCAAAATATCATTCCAGCTTGGATGTGACTGTTCATCCTGCCTCTGATAGGCAGATGCTAGCAGGCTGTGTTGAGTGACTGCTCATGTCCTTGTTACCTTCTGTGCAGCCTGGGTCTTCAAAGCGTTGAGTGCTATAGTATTGCTGGGGCTGTTACTGATTGTTCAGAAGCTTTAACTGTTCAGAATAAAGAAGTGTTGCACTGTTAGTGTTTTCCCCCCAAAGGGGTTACCTCACAACTGTGGATCCCAAGCGCCCTTTGGGTTTTGCAAGAAGTTAATATGCTCCCCATCAGCACCACTTGCGGATTATTTGTGCTGGATTTGAGCAGGGATGGGGAACCTGGGATGCTATAGATGTTGTTGGACTTCGTCTTCCATCAACCCCACTTCATTGACAGTGGTCAGGAATGATGGGACTTTTATAGTCCAATGACATCTGGATGGCCAAAATTCCCCCATTCCTCTACTTGTGATAACATTTATGGAAGGCTATGAGTATGCTAATCAGAGAAAAATATTTCAGCATTTTAGGAGTAAAAATGACTTTTAAGTTCAAACTCTTGTAATCTGTGTTTGAAACTTTATCTAGGAACATATGTGAGCAGAACTGGATTCGGTCACCTTGAAATTTTGTAGTTCTTTACCTTAAGTCTACTGCACTATTAAACCTATACAGTGGTACCTCGGGTTACATATGCTTCATGTTACAGACTCCGCTAACTCAGAAATAGTACCTCGGGTTAAGAACTTTGCTTCAGGATGAGAACAGAAATTGTGCTCCGGCGGTGCGGTGGCAGCTGGAGGCCCCATTAGCTAAAGTGGTGCTTCAGGTTAAGAACAGTTTCAGGTTAAGAACAGACCTTCGGAACGAATTAAGTACTTAACCCGAGGTACCACTGTAATTTGGGAATTGGTGGTAATGGCTTAGTGCAGTGGTTCCCAATTAGGGGTCCAGGGACCCCTGGTGGTCTGCGGAATACATCCAAGGCGTCCGCGGCCACATCCCTTGCCTCTCCCCTAACCAATTTTTTTGTCATTTTTGCATGGTAATATCACAAATTTTATGGTCTGTTTTACCACTGTGTGATTTTGCAATATATTGACCAAAATCTGTTTTGAAATCACACCGCAGTAGTGATTTTGATCTGGCAATACACAGCAATATATCGCTCCTTGCATGAGGGAGAGCAGAGCAACTGATTTCAAGGCACTGCCCATATTACACGAGGATCTCAGCCGATAACACTGCTGATCTGAGCTGCCTTTCCCTACGCTGAGGGAAAACAGGGCAGCTGATCACAGAGATGCAGTGTGGGGGATCTGTGGAGTCCGTGGTTCCAGGCACAATTTTGAGAGGGGGCGCAAACAGGCACCCCACTGCAGGCTCCTTCATCAGAGCCTGGCTCTGTGGCAAAAGTCGTTGTGCCTTGCCCAGGAGCAGACTGTGATGTCTGCTTTACTCATTGGTATATCGCTGGTGAAACTGCTACTGCTCCTGAGTCCCTCTGCTAGCAGCGTCCGCTGGAGGGAGCCCAAAGTTCCTTCCTCCAGAAGGCGCTGCTAGCAGAGGGACTTAGGAGCAGCAGCGGTTTTACCAGCAATAGATCGCTGAGTGAACCCGCCATCCCACTCATATGATGGAGAGGGTGAAACAAGCTGTATTGGTGAGGCACCAATACAGCTTGTTCCTCCCTCTGCATCTTTAAACTGCTAGACTGAAGAATGTTCAGCTGCCCTTGCCTTAGTCACACATTTAAGGAGCCCCCAGCCCGTTGCTGGCTCCCACAAGTTGGCAGCTCTGTGAAACTGCTCACCTGAGGGGAGCACAGTTGCTGCTCTCTGCAGTGAGCAGTTAAAGGAGCCCCGAAGCTCCAGGGCTGTCTCAGCTGGGGGGGGGTTCCCTCCCCCCCCGCCTGAGCAGCGCAAACAAGCTGCATTGTTCCAGGCCATGAGCCTGGGTGAAACTGCCTCAGCTCTTGAGGTGAGAGCTGAGGAAGTTTCACCTGGTGTCTTGCAGGTAGAGGCCAGTGCATATTGTTTTTTCAGCATTGTGGTATATCGCCAAACTGTTTGGCTGGCGATGCACCACAGTGTTGAAAAGCTGATATTCCCCAGCTCTACCACCTGATCCCCATGACTTCTCCTCTCATCCCTGTGCCTGATCTCCAATTTCAGACATTGTGATATTTTGGAATATTGTGATGTTTAGCTGCTGATATATAATAATAATGAAAACCAGACACCGCTTGGCCCTAGTCTGTTTTTTAGTATACCTAAAATCCTTTGCTTATTAGGGGCTACCCCACATTTTGTTGAAAACACTGCTTTGCAGAGGTAACTACCATAGAGTTATCAGAATCATCAAAAGTAGATTGTCTGTGGCTTGACTTTTGAAAAATACGGGGTCCTCAGTAATTAGCTAATTGGGAACCACTGACATAGTATGTGATAACATCCTCTCTCTTTTTTTTCTAGTGCCACCATGGCAACCGCACCTTACAACTATTCCTACATCTTTAAGTACATCATTATTGGTAAGTATAAATATAAACCAGGTCTTTGTATGTATCATTTGTTTTACTTGGTGGGTAAGTTTTTGTTAGAGGGTTGAACTACTGTTAGCATGCTTTGGTGTTCTGATAGGCCAGTAATCTCTATGTACTTCCTTTTCAAAAGAGCAGCTAAGGAGGCAGTATGAAAAGAAGTGCTATATCTATTTAGAACTACAGATAAGAAAACTGTAGCTCTTAACCTTTGCTTAAAAATGGAAGCAGCTCAGTCGTCTTTTGTTGCTTTAAAAAATTTCCTCCTTGCGTGATTTTTGTATTTTTTACTTTGAAATATCTGTTGTAATACTTTCTGGATTGTTGAAATTTTTATTACCTTTGTATTTCCTTTAAAAAATTGTTTTGAATTGTTGATATGCTCTTGGTATAACTGTCTTGCTGATTGAAGGAAGAACGAAGTCTCAGCTGCACTGGGGGGGGGGGAGTGGAGTGGAAATCAAATGATAGTCCTTGTGAAACAAAGCATTTGTGAAGAAAATTTCCAACCCGCATTGGATTCCAGGACAAGTAACAATGATAATAAATATATTGCTATTATTGATTTGATTTCTCACTGATCCTTCACCATCAGGGCGGGTTACAACAATGTAAAAATAGATTGTTACAATTGGTTGAAACAATTTCGAATTAGAAAAATAGGACAAGTCCTAAAAATATCTATGATGTCAAACGCCAGGGTAAAGACATCTGCTAGCATATGGCCGAACCTGTATCATGATGGTGCTGGATGTGCTTTTACTTGGAGGGAATTCCTCAATTTTGGGGCAGACACAGAAAAAGCTTGCCGTGGGCCACTACTCCCCACACTTTCTGAGGATGGTAGAGCTACCAAGAAGGCCCTCTCTGCCTAGCTTAACACCCAAGAGGATCTATTGGAAAGGGGTTGGTCTTTCAGGCGTTTGCGGCGAAGTCATTTAAACACCAATGTGAGCACCTTGAATTGGGCCCTGAAATTAACTGGCAACCAGTTAACTATGAAATGCCCAGTGTATTTCAGTTAATGACAGCCGCCTTCAAAGATACAGAGTTAAGCAATACTAAGTTCATGGCTGTGGTTGGTTGTTTTAAACTGCTCTGAGGGGCTTAGCCTGCAGGACTGTTGGCTATTCAGCCTCTGCAAAGCTCACTGGAAACTTCATTTGGGGGTATGCCATGTTGGGCAAGGAATTCCTGTTGCACAAAGCTTTTTCTCACTGTGCACCTGTAAAACTTCGTGCTTGATAGTCATGAAGTGGAGACTGAGATGGTTACTCCAAGCCATTTCCTTTCATTTAGTTGCGGTGGCTGTTGTGCTGTGATTTGCTCAGTGCTTGGCACACAATGACCCACTAGCCTACAAATAGTCATATGGTGGTATAAAGCAGGGGAGAGTTTATAGTTGACATTGTATAGGTCATTGGGCCCTAAACTTGCAACATGGCTTATGTGCTGTTTACACCAAGCCTTAACTATTTTGTGCATTCCTCATGCTAGACATGGCTTAGGTTACTTCTGAGTGAGGAGGAACTAAAGTGTCTGTGTACTAGTTGTTGGACTACTCGCTGCTATTCTGAAAGTAGCTGATCTTGTATTAATGTTTAACAAGCCAGTCTTAGACTTGGGAGAGGCCTAGGTTCAGCTCCCTGCCTGGTTGTAAGCTCTCTTTGTGGCTCTGGGTTTCTCCCTCTTCAACTCAACTCTGACAGCAGAGTGGCAGTCAGGATGAAAATGGATGAGTGTTCATAACCTTGAACTCTTTGGAGGAAGTGCAGGATAATAAAAAAAATCCTCTGTCTTATAAAACATGGAGGGAATGAACATTTGCACTAGATGCTGAGGTTAATAGTTCTAGTGCTGTCTGTTGCAGTGCTGTAGCAGTGCTTTCAGATTCATTTTTTTTAAATTTACTTTTATAATTCTTACTCGTGAGGTGTTACAAGCAACTGGTGCACAGAGATTATTCACCAGTAGACTGTAGAACACAGAGCTGGCCCTTCAATAATGTGAGGTGAGGCACCTGCCTTGGATAGCACTTGAGAGAAGTGGTTTTGAAGAGTCACAGCCACAGCCGCTGCCCTGCTGCTGCTTTTTACATGGTGGGGTTGCCATAGTTGCTGTGTAAAGTGGCAGCAAGGCAGGGGCTTCTCTTCGTCCTCTTCCTCTAAGTGCCACCCTTTTCTGGATGGCCGTGGCGAACAGGCTTGCTACTTTCATAACTTATGTATGAGAGTAGCTAGCCTGTTCACTGAGCACCTGGAGATCAGCAAGCTACTGCTCTGTTATTGCCGCTGCATTACACAGCGACAATGAGGACCCACCTTGTGGAGCAGTGTCTTCCTCCTTGCCGCCTCCTCCTCCTCCTCCTCCTCCTCCTCCTTCCTTACCCACCCATTTCTACACTCTCTTGACTTTCCTCTGCCCACCCCTCCAGCCCATTCCCTTAATTTTTGCCTTGGTTGCTGGCTCCATATTTCAAATGTTGCTGGGCTATGTATTTACTCGAGTCTAAAGCATACATTTGCCAAATTACATTTTGAAAAATAGGATGTTCATTAGATTCGATGGTGTGTTAGACTCAAGTAAATACAACAGTGCATAGTGCTGATCCTGATTTACCTACTCAGAAGTAGGTCTGGGACTTTCTCCGCAGTTAAGTGGGCTGTGTAACCCGCTGAGTTATCTAAAGTGTGTGGGGATGGGAAATAACTGTTACTGTTTTCCTCAGCTCCTGGGGAGGTTTCTATTGAGCACCCTAAAGCAAGGCAGAGGGGGATAATAAGCAAACCCCTCTCTCCCTCAGTGAAAGCGTCATGAGGGAAAAGCCCCCCATACCCTTTTTGTCAGCGAGCCGAGCCAAAGCGTGGTTCCCACTTGCCTCAGCTCCTCTACACAGGCGGGGCCCAGCACTTCCACACTGTGAGAGAGAGAAAGGCGAGCTGCCACTGCCAGGCCTGTTTTCTTGGTGCATGCCTGCTCTCCTGCTTTGCGCTGCCAGACTCCAGGGCCCTGCTGCGGGATCAGCTGAGTCAGCCTGGCAGCTTCCTCTATTGGAGGGAAGCAGAGGTGGATGCTGTTGCGCAGGAGGCTGCAGTGAATCCCACTGGGCAGGGCGACTTTGCTGTGTGGTTTCCTGAGGGGTCCAGGCTGTGGTTGGTGATGGAGAAGCAGAGGAGGAGGAAGAGAAGGCGGGCTTCTGAGCAGGTAAGGTGGCCGGCAGGAGAGCGCGCCAGCCACATGGCTAGTCCTCAGCGTGCCCAGGCGGTGAAGGAGCCTCTGATTCACAGGGGTGGCAAGATGAGGGCTGTAAAAAAGGAGGCACCCCCTCCCTGCAAGTCAAGATAGTTTTGGTGGTCAGTAGGGCTGGGCAATATTTACTTGAGTCTAATGCGCACATTTTTTTGCCAAATTACATTTAGGATGCACAGTAGATTCAGTGGCGCATTCAGTACAGTATTTATTGGATTTATGCTTCACCTTTTTATCCCATGAGCTCAAGGTGGTGTACACAGATTCTCCTCTTCCTCATATAATCCTCACAACCGTCCTGTGAAGTAGGTTTAGGGGTGGGGGAGGAGGAGACGGAGAGAAGAGAGAGAGACAGGCCCAAGGCCACCCATTGAGCTTCATGTCTGAGTGGGGGTTTGAATTCTGCTCTCCCAGGACCTAGTCCATCACTCTGGCCACTATATCACACTGGCTGTTCAGTGTCATATCATCCCTGATCATTGATCATGCTGCCTGAGGGCTGGTGAGTGCTTGGTGTTGTACAAACGCGCTATACCGATGTGGAAAATGTCCTAGTAAGGCAGTCGGGAGGATGCATGTTTAGGTGAGCCTCAGGTGCCAAAATGTTTTGGGCCGGCCCTGTGTGAATGACACATTATTGCACAGTCATCTTCTGTGATGCTAAGTTTCAAGCACAGTGATAATAGTACATGGCTTGTTACTAAGACTTGTTTCTTTCTTTTCTCCCCCCTCCCTCCGCCCTGTCCCGTAGGGGACATGGGTGTAGGAAAGTCTTGCTTGCTCCACCAGTTTACAGAAAAGAAATGTAAGTCTCTTCACATATTGACCTTCAAGTGATTTTAGATGGTAATCCACAGCATGCCTCTTCTCTCTCCTCCTTGCACAAGTTGATTTGGGCTTTTCTTGTGTCTTTGATCTGCCTGGCTCTATTTGTGAGAGTGGTCCAGCACGGCTGAGGCAAAGACACTTAGCAAAAATTTTTAATGTGCCACTATTACAGTTGGACACTATTTTCAGTCTCTGTCTTAACTGGGGTTGGAAGGTCATCATGGGTTGACAAAGCTTCTACATTCCCTTGAGGCCACATGACTCCCTTATGTGCCTTGTGCTGCTTTACTTAAGATTGACTGCCTGGTCAGCAGTTAGGTCCAGTATTACTTTTCCCAGCTTAGGCGTAGGTTTTAACTGGACTGTAAGTTACTAGAGCCCTTAAAGTCCAGCTATCTATCTTTGACCAGGATTTTTAAAAATAAGGCATACCTTAAATTTGTTGAAGAACAAAACAAATAACAGAGGTCAAGAGCTAGTGTGGTCTTTGGCAGGACAGTTGTCTTTTTCTCATTCCTGATGAGAAAATGAACCTGAACAGCTTGGGGAAGGGATAGTGTTATATAGAAAAAAGATTAAAAAATGTTAATGAAGTACAGAACTTTGACAGCAGTTAGATTTCCTTTTTCTCTTTGTTGGGATGGGTGAGATGAAATCTGAAGTTGATATTAAGCAGGTTTTCAGTTTTACATGCACATGCTCAGTGTTGCTATTGAGAGCTCTAAATGGAAGTACTGGTCGCCTGACTCTCTCTCTGTCTCTCTCTCTCCTTTTTGGCAACAGTTATGGCAGATTGTCCCCATACAATTGGTGTTGAGTTTGGTACAAGAATAATTGAAGTTAGTGGCCAAAAAATTAAGCTGCAGATCTGGGATACAGCAGGACAGGAGAGATTCAGGGCTGTCACACGGAGCTACTACAGAGGAGCAGCAGGCGCTCTTATGGTCTACGATATTACTAGGTAAGAGGCCTTCTTGTGCTATAGACACCCTTAGTACACTCTTATGTTACCTACAGCAGTCATACAGCAGCTGCTGAGGTTAAACTTACTACTTTCCTAGCTCTTAATAGGACAAGAATGACACTCCTGGATCAGTTGGGGGCTCCTTCTCATCAATATCTTTGCTCTCAAAAAACGGCCAGTCAGATGTCTCTGGGAAGCCCGCAGGCAGGTCATGAACACAGTGGCTCTCTGTCATTATTGCCCCAGCAATATTCCCCAGAATCGCAGAAATTTCGGCTCTGGACATGAAGGTGCCATCTCAACTGTGGAAGACCTGCTTCCATAAATTTAGCTAATTCATTTCAAAACTAGCAGCAGTCACTACATTTTATGGAAGTGAATTCCAGAGGTTAGCTATGCACAAAGTAGGGTATTTATTCTCTTGTCTGTCCAGAATCTACTGTTTGTTGCTTTAGGTGACCCCAAGTTCTAGTACTGCAGTAGAAAGGTGCTGGTGGTGGAATGGCCTTTTCTGCCGACTTTATCAACACAATGCACCAAGGTTTTGTTTGTTTGTTTGTTTTTGCTGATATTTCTGTAAGGGGCATGTGACTCAAAACAGGTTTTTAAAGCATGGTCACTTTTTAGAAAAACAAACAAACCTAATTACATCTTTTCAGGATAATATAAGTGTCAAGTCATTGTCTTGATTTTAAGAGGAACTTTAGCCAAGGTTGCGGCTTTAACAGCTGCTCCTTTCTTAGCCCTTAATGTTATGTAATACCTGTAAACACTTCTCTCTTTTTTGGCCATGCCCAGGAACAACAGTCTGGAGAAGGAAGAGCAATATTCTTAAAAGTCAAGTATCTGGGGTTGTTGAGTTTCTGGGCTTTGGTAGCTTGCCAAAGGTTCTTTGCTAGTAAGTGGGACAGAGACACATTGGCTCATCAGGAGCATCTGTTTTTGGGAATACATCACTATCTCCTGTGCATCTAGCTTCCTGTATGGTGTCATGGAACTGAACTGAGTGCCCCACGGAAAAAATATGACTATTTTAGTCCTATTTTAGTCTATCTTAAATAGGACATGAAGCCTGTTGCTAAGTGTAAGAAGTTGGGAGTATTTGTCAGCTCTGTGTTGGGCTAATAAACAAATAAATTATGGAGTCTAGTTATAGGATTGATATTTTACTGCCTTTACAGTAGGGTGAATTGAAACCAGAGGTTTCTAAACTAAGTTTAACTATTCTAATTTTGGAAAAGATACAGAGCAAGCTTGGGAATGAGGCACATAGGTTAATCCTACAAGAGAAGAGAATGGTTTTTCAGATCATTGCAAACCCTAGCAAACAATACTTCACCTTTCTGTATCTTGCATATGTGTATGCTCCCCAGACGCACAAGATCAGTGTTCTCCCCGACCCCACCCTCCAGACAATAGCTCTTTAAGAGGAGATTTTTGCAACATTTTGTCTTAACAGATTTCCCGTTGAAAATCAGGGAAATGAAAAACAAGCAAGAATCTCTGTTAACAGCTCAATTCAATTGCCTAAATTGGAAGTAACATGTTCCTGTTGTGTCCAGTACCATCCTCAAAGTGTAATAGGAAATAAACGGACATATTATGCTGGTGTGACCCTATAAGTACTTAGTTTTGCCTTTTCTGTCTTCTGCAGAAGAAGCACGTATAACCATCTAAGCAGCTGGCTGACAGATGCAAGAAACCTAACTAATCCAAATACTGTGAGTTTGGCTGTTTAAAAATGGTTGCATTAAATGTAGGGCTGTCAAACACCCTTTGAACATCTGCCTTTTCGTTGTTTACATTTAAAATCAAACAAATATGACCTATTTTGATATCTTTGGGAGATGTTGAGAGTGTGATAAGTAGCAATTTGTTGATAAAGACACAAAGTTACCACTTAAACTACTACAGTACTTGCCAAAAGGAAAAGCTACCTTTTAATTTATTTTTTATTTCCCATTACATCAACACATCAAAATGGGGTTGGTTTGAAATCAAGGGTGCCATTAACGCTCATCCACACTGAACTGGCTTTAAATTTGCTACCAGTGATTAAATTGTTAAAGCGAAGGTCGTGGCTTTGATTAAAAGGCCTTGTCCTAAAGCATGGAATCAGAACACAAGGCTAAATTGCCACCCTGTTGCATAAGCTGCTGCTGGTTGTCATCTTATGAAGTATAATTTCCCCAAAATTATAAATGAACATAATTGCTGCCAGAAGGAGTACAATGTGAAGGTAATGGCAAGAGTCATTAAGGAGAGAAGGGAAGAAAAATAGTTGGAAAGAGCCAACCAGGGTGGATATGATTTAAATCAAATCGATTTAAGTCACCACTGTAGTCAGTAAGACTTGATCTAAATTATTTTTTTAACAGAAAGACGCATATGATTTGGTTTGGGTTTTTTGTTCTTCTTCCTTTTTTTTTTTTGAGGCTAAATACCACCCTATCTCTGCAGTTGAAGTTGGTTTCCTTCCACCCTGTGTAGCATCAAGTGATTTGAATACATCTGTTCCTGATTTGGTTCTGTTCTCCACAGAAGTTAGTTCTAGCTAGCCAGGTTCACTTCCTCATTAGTGTGACTATTTTATTGCATAATAGCCTTTCTTGAATCTGAATGGCCCTGCAGTAATAAGAAGTTGAAGTGTCACTTAATATTCACGCTTGAAGTTCTGGCAGCATTTGATTTTGGTTTTCCTGATCTGTATAGCCTTGCATAAAATGATTATCTTTACCAGCTCTACTCAGGCGTGTCACAGGAGGGCTAAAGTGGCAGCTGCAGGATGCTGGAGCCTAGGGAGTAGGACTAGCATGCAGCTGTTGACCTCTTGCCTTCAACAGGGACTGCCAGTTTATCAGCAATCTTTTTGTGCCTTATTCCGGATGCAGGTGATAATCCTTATAGGAAATAAAGCGGATCTGGAAGCGCAGAGGGATGTGACATATGAAGAAGCCAAACAGTTTGCTGAAGAGAATGGTGGGTGTTGCTACTCCAGTGCTGTGAGTGTATAGGTTGGATTCTAGGCCATGATAACTCCCAGAAGCCGTTTTGGGGAGCGGGGAGACCTCAGCGATTCAGGGCCTGAGTTGTCTCACTCACAGATCTGGTTATACAAACTACTGACCCTGGAGTTCTTTGGGAACTCTTATCTGTGAGGTTTGGTATGGGGCACTTGCTATTCCTGCCTATGCTAAAGTTGTATTTTGTTTCTAAACAGGATTGCTGTTTCTTGAAGCGAGTGCTAAAACGTAAGTACTGAGTCTTGATTTCTTGAAACCGAAATTGCTTATGTGGATTCATCCATAATCTGCTTTGAGGGGTACTTTGATTTTTAGTCTCTGTAGCTTGAGCAATTATACCCCCTTGGTACCTTCCCAATCTTGCTGTCACTACTTGCTCTTTTCCTGGAAAAGCATTAGGTATTGCTTACCCCTTTGTCCAGTGTAATTCTTCACTCAGTTGTTAATTAACTGTTTACTTCCTTACATTAGTTGCTGTGTTCATCAGTGTCACATGTCTGACTTTTGCTCATTAGAATACAGTGGTACCTCGGGTTACATACGCTTCAGGATGAGAACAGAAATTGTGCGGCGGCAGCGGAAGGCCCCATTAGCTAAAGTGGTGCTTCAGGTTAAGAACAGTTTCAGGTTAAGTATGGACCTCCAGAATGAATTAAGTACTTAACCTGAGGTACCACTGTACTAATATACATTATAGTGAGGGCATAGAAGCTTAGCTAAGCCCCATAAGGTGGCTTTGGTGTTGGGGAAACAAGAGGAATCTGATTTCTGTTCCTTGTTGACAGTAAGAAGCAATTCTGGCATGTTCAGGGGTTTGACTGAGAATGTCCACACTGGCCTAACCCCAACCCTGTTGTTGCCAACCACAGCAATTCAAAAAAAGATAATATAACAGCTGTGTTCAGATTTCACAAAAAACCATGGTTTATCATGATGGGAAGGAGCTAGAGTGAGCTTTGGACTCACACATTCCTCTTTTGGCATGGCCTCGAGGAAGAGAGTGGAAGTTTTTGCTTCAGGTTTTTAACTTTCGTTTGTCTTTGTATCAAGCAAACTGCTTTAATTTAACTGCACTTTATTGAAACAAACCATCTTCAAACCATGTTTGTTTCAAACAGGGAATAGTTAATCTTAATTGCAGTTTAGAGTTTGGGTGCCATGCTAAAACTGAGGTTTACTTTTTTAAAAGGAGGCTTTCAAATCTCCCTGTGGCTGTGCCAGAGGAGAGGAGGGAAGGAGGGAGTGTGTGAGCCATAGTTTCACTGCAATTTGCTCCATTAAGTTAAACATAATTTATCAATCATTTGATGTTTTGGGATCTTAGACTCATGAACTTTTCAGGAATTTCTGCCCTGTGAACTAGAAATTCTTGCTCTAAAGCAAGCTAGTGCATGGTGGAATTGAAGTGCTCCATGGAACAGATGTAAAAAGCAACATTGACTACAGGAGTTGGGGGTCCTTCAGGCAGGGCATCCTCAGCTGGCTCCATTAATCTGAAGTGGGATGTACCAACTGAGAATCCTCTTGCATCTGCTTTCCTTGCCCCATGTAAAAGTGAGAAGAGTAATCCGGGGTTAGTTGGGACATGTGGCAGGAAGGCGTGCAGGAATCCACACCATCCTGATGTGTGCTATGAAGACACTAGGGCTGCTGATGCAGAATATCTGAAGCACAGAAAATGGCCATTGCAAGATGTACTGTTGATGTTTCCATAGCGGTGGCGGCTAAAATAGATGGGTTGTGCAACCTTAATACCTATGAAATATGAATGGAAACAAGGGTAGAAGCTCTGTGCTACATTGCTCCTGGATAGTTAATGGTGGGTATGTGAAATTCTTTGTGCAACAGGCTTTCTATATACATTCTAAGTTAATATTGCTGCTTTCCCTTTTATCAGAGGAGAGAATGTTGAGGATGCATTCCTAGAGGCTGCCAAGAAAATCTATCAGAACATCCAAGACGGGAGCCTGGATCTAAACGCTGCAGAATCTGGTGTACAACATAAGCCTTCAGCTCCACAGGGTGGCCGACTAACCAGTGAACCCCAGCCGCAGAGAGAAGGCTGTGGCTGCTAGTGACCTCACTTCTCGGCTCTGTTTCTGACCTTTCACCTCTGTTAGGAGCAGTGCTTTTGGCTGCTTCAGTTTCCTCTGTCCATCTTACTGGGTTTAATTAAAACTCCTGAGGCAACAGTTTAACACAGCACTAAACTGCTAAAAAATAAATAAGAGAAACTTAGATGTAATCAGGTTATCAAAGGCAAGTAGAGTCATACCCTCTCCCTGCATGGTAAATCTAGAAGTCTCCCCCCACCCCAGTCCTTGTGAATAGGTGTCACCAATACATGATTTACAAAACAGAGCACTGATGGTTGGACCTCATGATTTTTATTATTATTCTTTCTCTTTCTGCAGGGCTTTGTCTCTTGTAAAATTTAACTTTACTAGCTTCAGCCTTTCCTCGCAGTCTGCAAGTGGTCTGGATCTGTCCTTTTTAGTAACAAAAAAAAGTTGATTTGCTGTGAAACAACCTACATGATTAGAGTGGCATCCTGCATAAGATTCCTTTTTTAGTGGGAAGGAGTCCCTATTATGCAGTTGGTGGTGGTGGTGGTGGCGGCGTGGGAGCACTCATTGCAGGAGTGTTAGCCTTCATCCATCTTGGCCTCCCACATGGCAAGTATCTCTCTTGTGCTTGTGCTCTGTAGCTTGATGCCACCCACCTCTTCCTTCTCCTTACCATTTTTACCTTTTGTGGCCCTTGTTAACAGAACGTAAATATGTATAAATTTTGAAGGAACAGAGCTAACACTTTAAAAAGTACATTCTGTGTATATGATCTTAATGAAATAAAAACAAACTGATTTACTGGCACTAGAATAGGTAATATATTGGTCTGTACAGTTCAACCTAATAATGACCACATCACCCCCAGCTTTAGTAACTGCAGTTCACTGACCATTGGCTTGATTCCGTGGTGTTGGCATTTGGAGGTTGTGCTTAGGAAGCTGGTTCCTGACACAGTGCAAAAGAACACCTACCCCAGTGTAATAGTATCTGTCCTATCTTGGCACTGTCGTCAGCCTATTGCTGCTTTTGTTTAATATTCCTGGTCTTGTGCAATTGCTGGTGTGCTAATATACTTTTCCTCTCTCTTTGGGAAGACTTTTTGCATTAATCCAGCTTCATTTCCTGCCTTATTGTATAGGAAGGATGGGCTGTTGGACATCTTACACTTTTATGAAAAGATATATTCTCAACTGGACTGTCAAGCATTTTACACTCTAGGGATTTTGAACCATACCGTGGCATTTGACACTACAGTTGACATAGGCTTAATTTCTGCTCCTCCTCAGTTCTTCCTTCATGCTGTGGTTGCAAAGAACTTTGAGAGAAGTAATTCAGAGCAATTGTGTATATGCAGACCTGTCTGTCTACTTGGGTTGGAGCCACCACATATGTAAACAATCTCAACTGTACTGTAACTCTTCCATAACAACCTGCTATTTAAAAGAAAAAGAGGGCAACAAATGGGTTAAGCTTGATTGGGCTTCACTATGTTTCACTATATTGACTGCAATGCTTCAAATATAGCATAGGGTTTTTTTGTTTTTAGCCCTGTAAAGACACTAAGCAAGGCCATGTTCAACTATGTAAAAGCAAAGGGTGATAACCAGCATACTGTACAGTCAATGTTAAATAAAAGCCAAAACTGGAATGTGCAGATGATTTAAGTGTTTGGATAATGTGTACACTGTCCCTTTGTGTGTTTCCTTTTTGTTTGGCTCTGGATAGGTTTCTCTCCCCCAACCTAAGATTCTTAAAATAGATGGGTATTACAAAAGATGCAGCTTGGATTGCACCATGTGGGGTTTTTGCCCGGGGACCATGATCAGTTGATATACAATTTTAAGTTTGGGCAAAGGCAATCACTTTCTGCAGCTTGTTGGTGGTGCAATATCCCCCCCCCTCGATCCTCCAAATTATAAGTTACAGTAGGTCTTTGTTTCTGTGAACAGGGATCTTATTTTGGGCTGCTTGTATCTCTATTTATTGTAACCAATGCTATTTATTCTAAAATATTTGTAAAAAAGTACCTTGTATCTAGATAATGACAAAGTTGGTCGGTGTCTTGTGAAGATGTAGCACTCAAGAGGGTGTGGATATGTGGGCTGTCACATGAAAGCAAAGTTATCCCTTTATATGAACCCACTAGACAGTAAGCAAGTGTTTATCCCTTTGACGTCAGCCGCGCGTCACGCCGGGAGGAGCACAAAGTCAAAGTTTTCCCTCCCGAATGAAGAGGGCGCCAACTAGACCCGGGGAAGGGGCGGCTGCAGCGGACCCGGAAGTGGTTGCGCCCATCGGGGGCGGTGGGAGCGCGCCGTGCGGGTTGGTGGGTGGGGGAAGGAGAGGAAGAGGAGGGGGCGGCGGCCGGAGGCTGGACGGATCCGCGCAGGGACGGCGCGCGAGCCGGGAGGAGGCGCGAAGAAGGAGGCAAGGCGAGAGCAGCGCGGCTCGGGATGCATTCGGACTGCCGGCTGCTGCGCCCGAGACGCGGGGTATGGTGAGCAGCCCGGAGCGCCCGCTCCCCCGGGGGACCCGGCCGGCGCTGGCCTCCCTCCTCCTCCTCCTGTTGCTGCTCAGGCGGGACGCGGCGGCGCAGAAAGGTGCGTGCGGGAGCCCCGCCGGGAGGGGAGGGACCAGAGCCTTCCCGCCTTTCTTGCTTGGCGCCCACCCAAAAGCCCGCCGGGTTTTCGCGCCTTCCTCCAGTAGGCCGGCCGAAGCGAGCGGCGATGGGATGTGGGAGCTCGCTCGACAGTTGTTGTAGTTTTGCTATATTATTCCATGTGTGAAGGTTCTAGACCCGTGTAATATTTGTCACAGAAGGTGATAGATGGCTTTATTGTATAATGTATCAAACTTAATCCTCCCTAGCCTGCTCTCTATGAATATTTATGGTAGTGTGAAAGCAAAAAACCCCGCCATCATTCTAGGTGAGCTGCTACATACCTATGTAGCTGAAGCACAATCAGCATGCTTGCCTTTAGACTTTAAATCCTTTTGCAGAACACTTAGTTAAAGCACGGAATGTTAAGACCAACAGATGTGCTGCTTCACCATCAACCAGTCCTCAAGTCTAATTGCAGATCTTTTTTATCTAAACCTCCTGTAGGGAAATGCCTAAAACCTTATTGCTATAAACAGGCAACAACCAGAAAGGCTGCTAGAAAACACTCATTTATCACAAATGTACATTTCTGTGGATTAATCTTGGCTGAAAGGTAGGCTCTCCAAAAAGAGGCAACTGTTAGAAAAAAACCATTTTTTCCCATTTTAACAGGGGCAATCTTCACACATGGTGGAATGGTGTTGAAAATCCCACCCAATGCAGCATTACCTAGCCCTAGATTTGGAATGGTGGAAAGTAGTTCTCCCTCTTGAGCTTTGCTTTTGAACTTTCTGGTTCTACTTGCTCTTGGATCTCGTCAGTCTTAATCATTAAAGTTCATTGGAGAATATCACTGAAGAAATGTGAAGTTGCATAATCAGTTTGATAGAAGAAAAACTGATCTTGAAAAGCACATGTTTTATTATTGTTAGGTAAAGGGGGCTCACTTCATTTTTGTAAGTGCAGCATTGCTTAAGTTTCAAGTATGCGTGGTGGATCCCAACATTCAGACCAGTAAAAAATAGCTAAGGGTTGTTTTGTATTCCACCCTTTTATTCAAATGGGAGGCACCACTGAAATTAGTAAACCTAAGTAACGTCATGTTACTTCCAATGAGTCAACTTAGAACAACCCCTAGTGAACAAACGTCAGCTTCTGCTATGTTAATAAAGTTTATGCTAGTTTTCCACAGTAGCTCAAATGGACAACAGCCATTTGCTGTGGCAGAATCCACTGCAGTCCTGGATCACAGAATGGGAGTGGGGAAAAAGAGAGAAATAGAGAAGAAAGTTACTTTTTATTTTAAGAGTTTAAGCAGGAATTAGAATAAAGTACTATTTGAGGTAAACTGCAACAGAATTAAGAGCTGAGACAAAACTTATGTGCGTAAACTGAGAAAAAGCTCTGTTGGGGGGGTGAGGGGAAGTGAGGTGAGACAGCCAGTCTGTATAAAAGTTAAGTCACATGACCCTGCATCTTCTAAGTAGGTAGATGGAGACAACCCCCATACTTTAAATACCTCCTTCATAGTGGGGAGTAAATTTGCTTCTGGTGGAAATATGGAAGCAGTTATTGCTGCAAAATCTAGGACACATTCAAATCCCTTAGGTGGGCAACATTTTTCAGAGAGCCTTGATCCCTTACAGGCAACCTGGGTGGAGCTAGTTTCAAAAAGTCACATCCATTGCATTTGTAAAGTAGGCAACATTCCAGCTGTGCACAGGTTGATATTTCTACACAAACACACCATGCAGGCAAAGAATGCATGACACAAGGGTATCTACCCAAGGACTAGATACATAAAGCAGCCTAGGAAGGCTGTACTTTGCTTTTTGGCCTGAGGTTCCCCATCCCTGCCTTGTAACATCCTAGATATGCATAGGAACCTGGTGGAACAACCAGTCACTAAATATTTATGTTTATAGAAAGCAGAAGAAAACGCAAGGTGTATTTTTTTGAGGGGGAGGGAATATTTATTTTTGTAAAAAAAAATTCAACAGAATACAAATTTTCACTAAAAATGCTTAAAAAGCTTATGCCCATTCACCCACATATAAATAAATGCACGCACCCCTACCCCACAAACAAAAGGATGCAGACATCAATGGCTGTAACTTTCAATACTGCAAATGCTACACTCTAGCTTGCATTGCAGAAGTGCTCCATATAAATAAAAATTCAAGTAAGTGTGCATACATAATAAAAACACCTGAGCTCACACCTAAAATGTCTTTAGGAATGTTAACAGGGACTTGGAAACCAATGAGGTAGTCTTCTGATGCCTTCAAAGCCAGGCAATTGGCACGGGCTGCACCAATACAGCTGCATTTCGCTGCTTACCTATAATAATAATAATAATAATAATAATAAAAACTTCAGTGATTACTGTAAAATATGCTTGCTGCAAATGGCAAGGTTACAATCATATCAATTTACTGATTGATTAACAAAGGATTTTCAGGTTCTGGGTAAGCTGTTACCTTCCTAACTGCTAGCAGAGCTAGGAAAAGGGGAGCTGCTTACCATGAATTAATTATTCTCTGCATCTAGGAAGGGCAGTCCAGAAGGCTGGCAAGAGCACCTCCCTCCAGGTGACAAGATAGGGTTCAATCCAACTGATGCTCTCCAGTGGAAGGGGCTACCTAGCTTTCCCCACAATGTACAGTACTAGAAAAGCAAGGCAACCCACCACATAGCCTTTATGACTATAGAAAAATAATGAATCCAACACAATGTGCAGCAGGGAGAAGTAAAGATCACTACAGCAAGGAGGCCACTCTAGAAACAGATGAGGTCTAAAGAGATGATAATGGTCCACTAGGGAGCAGTGGGGATTATGCCACCCAGAAATGCTTTGCCTTTTGGAAGGTTGGTTCATTCAACATTACGCACCCTGTCAAACTCTGCAAAGGGTACTGTTATAGGCTTAGGCAGACCTTTACTCCATTGGGAACTGCTGGTGTGACCTCATCCAGGGCAGAGGTGCTATAATTAAATTGTAGTCTGTATGTGGGCTTGACCAACAATGCTGGAGATAAAATCTAGGGAGGAAAGATAGTCCTGAGAGACTGAAAATGTCTTCAGGTTCTCTGATAGCTCCCTGGCATTGCTTCCACTAACACCTCAGATTAGGTGGGAGAGGTCCTCCGCCTGGTCCAACCCAGGTGCTCTTTATTCAGGGCTGATGTGCCACCATTGCTTGAAGGCAAAACTGCTGCCAGGAGACCATGGGCAGAATTCCATGATTTGGAGACTTTAAGGAGTCCTGCTCATCACTCAGTGGGGGTGTAATCTTAATTATGTGCTTGTAAGAACAACAGCCAGGAGACTGCAAATCTGGAGGAGATATGGAAGAACAGTCAGATGAGGGCAATTATGTCCTCTTCATTTTCCTGCGGCAAGATGTGACCTTGGAGTGGTGTCTCCCCCTCCCCCTGCTTTTGTGAGTTTTTCCTGCTCCAGAACAGGGAACAGGCTTGGATCCCACTTAAGGTTCTGGAATGCCCTACTGAAGATGTAAAAGAACCTCATGCACTGCTCTCCACAGGTTACCCTACCCCAACCTGGGGCTACGCAGAGTTGTACAAAACAGATTGAGAGCACTAGGATGGGGAAGGCTGCCATTAGCAATTAAAAACTTTAAGCATAAGTGCCCTAAATCATGAGCATGGCCTCAGTGTTTGATGCAAGATATAGGTGTGAGTTGCAACTCCCCCCCGCCCCCCGAGTTACATGGAGGAAGGCTGATTACACAGATGCTAGACTTTCAAAAAAAAGTGTCATACTTAGAAATAAGAACTACATACTCCCTTGAATGAGGTGGCTAACCTGTGGCCCTCCAGGAGTTGCTGGACTTCAGTTCCCATTACACCTGACCAATGGCTATGCCACAGACCAATGGAGGGCCACAGTCACATTGCCCTAGAAATTGTGTTTATATTTCAGTCTAAATTTTAACATTTATTGATCAATTCCACACATTCCACTGTTATCACCCCACCACTCTTACCTGCTGGGATTATGCCTTGTACTGATGAATACCTGGAGATTGTGTTGAAATACCTGTTGATGTCCTGGAAGGAGATCTAGAAAACTAGAAAAGATGTCCCCATTCAATCAGCAAAAAAACTGAGAAGACAACACATTGCAAGAGCCCTTGACTTGCTTCTGGGATATGGATAATAGCAGCAGCATAATCCCTATGATTATTATTTTGATTATATTATTGTAAGAGCAGGCTAAGATATTTGGTGAAATATAAAAAGAAAGGATACACAAAACTTTTATTCAAGATAAGCAGGTCAGAACATTCAAAGTGAATAAATTCATTGCTCAAAGTAGTACATCTCCCAGTCCCTTCCTCCTGTGTTAAACTCTGTGCTGAAAACCCTTACAAAATATAAACTGTTAACAAGGTGGTTTAGTAAAAGGATATAACTAGAAGCAAACTTGTTATAGTCTAGGCAATTGGCTCTGCAGAGAAAGCCTGTTACTGGAGAGTCTGCTAAAAGGACTTGAAAGAGATCCATGGCAGTTTATTCCAAGGCAGCCATCTGGGAGGTTTTTTCTTAACCACTGTAACATGCATTTTATTTTAGCTTTGGTGATTGCAGCCATCTCACAAAACAGGGACAGAGGGCAAGAAGAGCCAACAGCAAAGAGGTAATGGAAAAAGCAAAATACAAACTATAGAGTGATTAAGTAGAAACAAATAGGAGAGAAAGGATACTAAGGAATTTAAAGAAATGCTAAACAAAAAATCTGAGCAGAAACACAAATAGGAGAAAAAGAACATATCTGCTTTGAGTGAAAGCAGGGACTGAACTAGAAGAGGAGCAGCTAAATTTTCAAGACACCCCCCCCCCTGCTTTCAGAGAATCAAGAGTGAAAAGCCTGTTCGGCTCAATGGGCCAGATCCTTATCAGCCCTTATGGGGCAACTTTGATAGATGGTTGGGATGTCCCTTGTGCAGTGCTTTCCCAGCGCCCAGCAGCCCGGTGATAGTCAGGGCATTTGGAAAGCACTTTGCAAGTCCTGTGCTCAGTGCTCCCCAAGTGCTGAGCATAAGACTGACAGGACTGCTTTCTGCAGGGATCAGTTCCACAGTCTATCTAGCCACATCTCCACCTGCCCCACAGCTGACATCAGATGGGGGACAGGTGGGTGTAGTTTGGGAGAAACAGCCTCAGTGAGATGAAATGTTGAAGTATTAGGTTATGCATGGAGGGACACACATTGTAACACAAAGCTATCACAAAATCCTGTTAAAAACCAACATACAATTAAGCTCCAAATTTTTTAGAAAATATGCATGTGAAAAGTCAATGCATATTCAGACCACAGAGAATTAATTCCTGATATTCAAGCAAACCCAATACACGGGGAGAAAGTTTTCTACTAGTTGCCTCCAGCCAGAAAGAACTGCTTCAACAGCTGTTCTGGGAGGGGTAAGGAGGCAAAGGAGGACACTCTGGACCCTGCCACCAGCAAGAGCCATGTGCTATTTTTTTCTGGTGTAAGCCACTGATCATCACTTGATCAAAAGGCAGGGTATACTTTAAAATGAATGAAAATAGAAAGGCTCTCTCCTACACAGAAGCAGTAAATCCAAATCAATGTGGAAACTTACCTGGTTCATTGTGAGAATTGACTCTTCATGCAGAGAGTCAGTTAACCCTGAGGAGTTCAAGGAAGGAAACTGCGAGTCTGTTGAAGTACTGCTAACTAGTTCATCCAATGCATCAACTTGCCTCTTCAGGCTATGGAGGGTGCCCTCAGTCTGCTGCTTTCCTTTAATTAACACCTCCACTTGCTTTGACATGCACTGACGAAGCTGAGCCTTAAAGAACACACTGAGTTAACTGACTGGTTTATTAGATAATTCTGTGCTATATCAATAAAGGGGTGCATAAAGGTAAAGGTAAAGGTACCCCTGACCGTTAGGTCCAGTTGCAGATGACTCATCTCACTTTACAGGCCGAGGGAGCTGACGTTTGTCTGCAGACAGTTTTTCTGGGTCATGTGGCCAGCATGACTAAGCCACTTCTGGCGAAACCAGAGCAGCGCACAGAAACACCGTTTACCTTCCCGCTGGAGCAATACCTATTTATCTACTTGCACTTTGACGTGCTTTCAAACTGCTAAGTGGGCAGGAGCTGGGACCGAACAACAGGAGCACACCCTGTTGCGGGGAAAAGGTGTACATACTATCAAGGAAAACTATGACCCCCACAATAACTGGAAATATTAGTCCCCTGCCCCACTCAAAGGCTGGGAACCTAGTACATGAACTGTTGTGGTACCTTGAGCCGATCCTCATGGTGCTGCAGCTGTTCTCGGCGTGCTTTTCCACGCCATTGTTCATCCTTGAGAGAAAAGAGAACAGATTGAAACAGGTGGCCTGATAAAAAGATTAAGGTAGGATTTGCTGGTTGGTAATCATCATATAATGAACATAGGACAGTGACATCATAAACTAGCAGGGCTATGAACACCATGCAGCTGCAACTACTCTGCTTAAATACAGAACCCTACTTACAAGTTCCAGCAGCTCAAGGAGTTCAGGATTTATTTATTTAAAACAGGTTTTAGACCTCTAGCTTTTTATTTTTAAAGAAATAGAAACTAGGACTGTAAGTGGCAGAGATCAAAGTCTAGGAGCCTGAGTGTGGGGGAAAGCTTCCTGTGTTTGTGTTTCCAATGCAGGTGTACCACAGCAGGGAAGATGCAGGAGTTGGTTGCTTCAAACTGAGATTCATTAAGACGCACAATACAGGAAGAATGATTCTTGCTTGCATGCAAAATTGATGGTCTGAAGCAGCTCTGATTTTTTTAACACTGATTTTAGTAGGGTTGTGTTTACCGTGATGTGGACTTTGGAAAGGTCCAGCTTTTCATCAAAGCACAGCATTCTTCCCTCATTATTTGTGAAAGGATAATTTTCCTTCAGACTTTCCAAGTCACTCTGAGGTCTTCTTTCAATCTCAAAAGTAGTCTCCAGTTCTCCCAAAAGCTTTGGAGGGGATTGACTCAGATCCTTCAAACCGGTTCTCATTTTGTCTTTCACTTCCAGCTTAAGTGACTTCACTGTCCCTTTCATCTCTTTGTGTTGTTTCTCTAAATTCTCTTGACTCTTCATCTAAGCAATGGAATACAAGGGTGAGACAGCAGGATTTCAGAGAGGATGCTAAGGATTAACAACCAATTAGCAAACCAGACCCAATGCAGACACCCAGCAGGCCCTATGTGATCAGGGGCAGAAATGAATAGGGTCACTGGTGGGGCTCCTAATCTGGCTAGCATTGGAGGAACTGCTGCTTATGTGAGAATAAGGTAATGGTAAAGGGACGCGGGTGGCACTGTGATCTAAACCACAGAGCTTAGGCCTTGCCGATCAGAAGGTCGGTGGTTTGAATCCCCGTGACAGGGTGAGCTCCCGTTACTCGGTCCCAGCTCCTGCCCACCTAGCAGTTCGAAAGCACGTCAAAGTGCAAGTAGATAAATAGGTACTGCTCCAGCGGGAAGGTAAACGGTGTTTCCATGCACTGCTCTGGTTCACCAGAAGCGGCTTAGTCATGCTGGCCACATGACCCGGAAGCTGTCTGTGGACAAACGCCAGCTCCCTTGGCCTATAGAGCGAGATGAGCACCGCAACCCCAGAATCGTCCGCGACTGGACCTAACGGTCAGGGGTATCTTTACCTTTACCTTTTTAAGGTAATGGTAACATCATAGGTGCAATTTGTCTTTCTTCAGGCCTCCATTATCTCAAAAATTGCAACAGCTGCATCCTGTAACTGCCATCTCCATGTGACTTGGCTTGGTTGTGTTTGTGGCAATAGCCTCACAAGTGATTGTATGGAATCTGCTGAGTAACTGAACAACCTATGTTAATGGCTGGATGACGTAGTAGTCAAAACTTAGCTATTTAATCATGTGGGTGCAAAATTGGCTAAATGAAAACTAATTTATCAAATTACAAAGACCACCTTAGCCACTTCCATACAACCACCTTTAAGTATTAAAAATATAGGCAAGACCTACTGCTGTACACAATTCCAGCTTGTACTGTTGGTGATGACGATTTCCTCCTTATGAGGAGTTTTATTTCTTTGGGCATGATAAAAGATGGCACATAATCCAACCCGAGTGTAAGCCAACAGAAAATATTTGAGCCCAGGCTTAATTCTCCTACTGAAATCACAGCTTGGAGCCACAGATTTTGTAGCTACATTACAATTATTTCTTATGCACATGTAACTTGTACTATTTTAATCTTACATGTTTGAAGGCTGGCTGGTTGAAATTGTGCAAATTAAATGCATGCAAGAACAGCTTTTAAGCTCTCTGCCTTGCTTACTAGGCAACGCCTTTCAGTGTGCTGGCTCTGGAAGACTTGGGATGGTTGTACAAGGTCTTGCAGGCACTCTGATGGCCTTGCAAGATCTTGTGAGAGCATCTCAGAGCCAGTGTGTTGAGTGGGCCTTCTCAGGTAAAGGAAGAGAGAATTTAAAAGTTCTTTGGAAGGTTAGGGATGCGCATGAGGGTGTGGCTCCAAGGGTTTGAGTATGTGTGTTTTCGTGTATACACAGAACCCTTGGAATCAAACCTCTGTATGTGTAAAAGAAGCCATTGCTCTTGAGTTATAAAGTGAGCAGTGTTAGAAGTCAAGCCTGCCTTGAAACTGTTCCTATGAAAGCATTCAAAATGATCTTAGCTGGATCAAATTCCATCTAGTCCAGCAACCTGCTTCCTTCCCATAGGAAATCCCCAAGTGGAGCATGAAAGTAAACAGATGTCCTGTGTTGTTTGTTCTCAGCGATTTGCTGCCTCCGAACATGGATGGCTGATAGCTTTTTCCTGGAGGAGGTGAGGTCAATCAAAGGCTATCTAATTCTGTAGTCATAAATACATATTATGGCAACAAATTCCATAAATTAATTCTGCATTTTGTGAAGTCTTCCCTTCTTGCTCACCCTGAATGTGCATTTCATTGGATAATCCTGAGTTTTAATGTTTATGGGAAACAGCAAGGAAAACTCTCCATCCACTTTTTCTGCACTTCAGATATATAGGCAACGACTGATTAATGCATGTTCAAAAGACATGTGATTGCACATGTGTGCACAGTGCCAAACCCAGAAGTGACTGAAAATGTCACAGAACATGTCACTAAAAGGGTGACGTGGGCAGTGCAGGGCGCACTTACATGCACTCTGCTGACATGCACAAGGGCCAGGAACGGAACCCCCACATGAAATGATCATCGACCCTACTGATGATCCCTATTCTTTTGTATTTGGTGTAAAAAATACAGAGGAAGGTGGGAAGGTGGAATTGCCCACCTTTCTGCAGGATGTAGCGCATCAAAGAGAGGCAATTTGTTGGATCCAAGTCCTACCTGTGACTTGAGCTGCATGTACTCCACTTGGATCTGGCTAAGGTCCCTCATAAGCTGCTTTGCTCGCAGGTGGTTGTCTTGTGCCACTTGCTCTATGGAGGCAACTTCTTTTTGCAAACAGTGGTTTTCCTGTTTTTGTTCCTAAAATAAAAATTGGTGGGTGGGCATGTTCACAGTTTTATATTTTGTTTTCCTTCAGATGAACAGTTATGTTCCTGTGAAACAAAAACTTGGCATGATAATTACCATCCAGGTAACAGTGCTTTGACAGGGCCCAACCCATGGCAAATGACATTAAATTATGCACATGTGATTGCAGCAGCTAATAGAGTGACCTGTGAACAGCTTAGCTTTAACCTTGCCAAGGAGTCAGAAGATGGCTTTGGGTGAACTCTCCCCTCCCCAACAGTAATGAGTGGCTGGGGAAACCCAGCCAGATGGGTGGGGTAGAAATAAAATAATAATAATAATAATAATAATAATAATAATAATAATAATAATAATACTGACCTACATCACAAGTTTTTTATAAAGAGGAGGCCTATAGCATAGCAACAGTGGGGCCAGCTTGGGATCTAGTGAATCCTAGGCTTGTTCAGTCCCTCGCTGGGGTACCTCCTTCCAATACACCCCCTTCCCTCAGTCTGGTGTAAAGGAGATTTAGATTGCAGCCTGAACTGGTTGAATTTATATTCCATTGAAATGAAGCAGCCAAGTCCCATTGATTTCAGTGGGAATCAGGTTCAACCAACTATCACATTTTTTATTACAACAAAAACAAAACCACGTACATGAAGTGCTCTCTCGAGTTGGGCCTTCTGCATCTTGATGGCTTCCTTCAGTCCTTCTATTTGCTTTTCAGCCTTTTCCCTCTCAGTTTGAATCTGATCATGGAGCACTGTCTCCTTGGCTTTTGAGAGTTCTAGCTCCCTTTGGAGGGATAAAACCTCACCATTTTTTTCTTGCAACTTCAGTTCTTTTTCAGAGAGCTGATGTCCTGGAATCAAGAAGATTTATTCAGCCTATGTCACCAGAAAAGCATGTACCAAATTTCAGTTCTCTATATAGTGAAGAAGTACTTTTGCAATTTTAAAATATTACATACTGTATGCAATTTTAATTTATTACATGTACATCCTTCCCTTTCGCTAAAGAGGTTAGAGAAGCATTTAAACCTATCTCACAAGGTTCTTTTGAGACTATGACTATCCAGGGATTGTACAGTTCAGTGTGTATCTCAATCTGAGAGTTCCACATCCACAATGAGGCCATAATACTACAGAATTTATATTAGGACTTCTTCATATACTTTTTTTTTTTTAAAGTAAATTTATAAAAATGCATCAGTGGCTGTTGCAGCCTTTATCTCAACGTACGGGTTTTGCTGACTGTTTCTTCAAGAGCTCTGCACCATGACTCCTCCTCTTGAAGCTTCTGGATCTGTTCTTCTTTTCCTTGAACTTTAGCAATTGCTTGTTCCAGCTGGTATTGCTGCTCTGCTAGTCCTTGTTCCAACAGCTGTTTCTGATCCTTCAGTTCAGCTGTGCATTTCTCCAGCTTCTTTTCTTCATGTTGTATGTCCTCCCTGAGGTGATGAAGGACCTGGCCAAGGACAACACGTCAAGAGTGAACCTTCAATTGCAAGGGGTGGGGTGCAGGGGTGGGGATTGACCTTCACAGGCAGCTGCTCTTCTTTCTGTCTCTTTAGTTATATAAAAGCTCTGAGCTGAAAATTTTCCTTTTTCAAAGTGGAGCTTGATACATTTTATGCAAGGTATTTTAAATTCTAATACAGTATCTCAGGGTTAATTGGGGCCAGGGAAGGATGTCCCCTGCCCAACCACTCCATAAAGACTCTACTTGATGAAGACATTGCTCTTTCTTGCCATCATCACAGAGCATCACAACCAGGTGGAGGATGTGGGTGGACTTCTGCTGGGAGGAAGGTCAAAACAGTTCTTTTGGGTTGAGATACGGTGGGTAAAAAATCAGCAGCTCACAAAATGTACAATATGAAACGCACAAGGCCAAGAAAAGGCAAGCACTCAAGACACAACAAGAGGACCAGGGGCTGCTCCTTCCAGTATGGAATATGGGGATGTCATCCATCATTCTCAGATAAACACTTTGATTACTGTATTTAAATTTAGGAAGTAACTGGGGAAAGGTCACAGCTCAGTGAAAGAACACATGCTTTATATGCAAAAGGTGACAGGTTGATTTCTGGCCCTTCTAATCAAAAGGACTGGGAAAGATTCCTACTTAGATCTCATAGAGCTGCTGCCACTCAGAATATGGATTATAGTTAAGATTAAGCACAAGGCAACAGTTTATGCTCCTCGAGATCAGAATATATGTTCTCTAATTGAGCTCCCACTCTATAAATGGATTTACTTAGAGCTGGTGTCTTAAAGATGAGTTATCCTTATATTCTAGAACTAGTCAGTTTGGAATCTTTTAAAATGAAGAAAACAAGCTGAGCAGATCATTCATGAGAGAGAGCAACACATACCATCTCCTGTTTGCTCAGTTGTAGTTCGTGCTCTTCTATTTCCCTGCAAAGCTTCTGCAGCTCGTTCTCCTTCCTCTTCTGTATTTCCTGGCATTCCCTGCACTTTCTTGAAGATTCTGTTATGGTGTCTTTCAGAGCTGCTTGTTCTTGAAGTAGCTCCTCTTTTTGCTTTGTGGCATTTTTCACATCCTGTCATTTCACAGCAAGAAAATCCAGAAAACAAAACACAAAAAAGGAAACACATGCAAATAAATGTTGCACTCCAAAATGTTTCAGCCGTGAGACTTCAGGTACCTACAAAATGCACCACTGCTGCCAAGCAATGACGTCATGCATGAGCTAGGCTCACACCATAGGTGAAAAAACTGCAGTCACAACTCTCAAAATGGCATATTTGTAGATGCCTTCTCTCAGCCCATGTATTCAGAAGATGAATCCCTTTGGGCTGAACACTACCACCACCTATTATTTATTACTTTTGCCCCGCCAATCAAACTGGGTTGCCCAAGCCACTTTTGGGCAGCTTCCAACATAATGGGAGATAAACCCAAGTTAAGCACGGAGAGGATTGGGCTGTTAATTTTTGATAAAGGCCTCCTCTTTCAATACAGTTGTAGGCTTCTTGTCGTTATATTCCAATGCTACAAACCAACCTGTTCCAATAGTTGAAGATGCTGCCTGGAATCATTCAGTTCAGTCTTCAAAATATTCAGTTCCTCCTTTTTTTCTACAGAAAATACATTTTACAGCTCGTTGAAAGAAAATACAATAATCTAGGAAGGTGCAAATACTGGATATGGAAAGGAATTCCATACATTAGGCATATATTTAAAAAAGATGACTATTTTGTTGGAATCCGGAAAGCTATTATTTACCTTGAATATGCTTCTGTAAGTCAGTAACGTTGCCATTCAAAAGCATTTTGTGCTTTTGTAGTTGGTTAATATCAAGCTGCAGTTTTTGGACCTCTAAGTCCATTTTCTCTATGCTGGTGAGAGTGGCTTTATTGTTATCTTCGGCAGAAGCCAAGGATCTGTAAAATGGGATAAGATAAACTTTTATTTTGGGTTCATGTTGATATTTTTGACAAGTTTAAATTTTCTTGCAAACATTAAAATGGGAATACAGAGCGGTCATCACCAAAAAGATCTCAAGTTGACCAGGACTTTTGAGCCATAATTGCTATTTTAGAGCTCCTTCCACTGTTCTTCATAAGGCTTGGCTTCTAGACCCTAGATCATATTGCCATCCTATGCACATGTTCCAGCTTACCAGAGAAAAGAAGTACATTCTCTGGAGTGAAAGAAGCACCGGTCTACCTCTCACTTATTCCCACACAGTTCCCATCCATGCTTTTCAAGCCTAACCTGATGCTTGCATGTTCATGCCAGATTCTTTCCAAGTGTCATGCTCCCCTCTATCTTCTTTATACTTATTTTTCTCAAGTGAAAAGTTTTCATTTCCCCCCATCAGATTTCTGCCTACAGGCTAGGCCACAAATGGAAACCGGGGAGTGACCAGAAGGCAGTGGATAGTCTACAAAATTGCTGGATGGAAAAAAAGACTTAACCCATTAGTGGACGCCTCCTTTACCCAATCCAGAGAACAAAAATCATGCCACAAAATCATGGAATTATCCAAAAATATAATATCCTTCATAATACCACAATATATTTTTTCAAAGCAACATTGCCCCTTCACCTTTTGGTTTGTGACAATTTCTCCTCTAGACTCTCACAGTTTTCTTCCAGCTTTTGCTTCTCAGTGCTCAATGCCTTGATACTGTTTTGCAGAGAATGGAGCTTGGAACTAAGCCTCTCAGTGTCTTGTTGAGCCCTCTCAAGAAGTTGCCTTTGACGTTCCACTTCCCTGCACTGCTGCTGAGATGCTTGCTGGAGAGTCTCCAACTCAAGTTTCTTCTAGAAATTAAACACAAATGAAACAGTGGAGCAGATTGGATTTTACTTCACAGTGTTCCTATTTGCCATGCTTGCCTTGTGCCTAGTAGGACATAGCTTTATGTACACTATTATTCCAGCTCCTTTGTTTTAGGATATATACTTATGAAAGTTTTCATACACCTGCACTCTGACTGCCCAACTGATACTTTGAGTAAGTTTGAGAAACCACACTTCCTATGTCATTTCCATATAGCCTACCTATGGGATAGAACTTATAAAGGTAATGTGTGAACATAGATCTTGCTGAGATAAAATATGCCTGCAAACTGCTCTGTAAAATGCTTTCTCTCTGGTATGAATCATGGCAAAATGAACCCTCACTTACCTCCAGGACTGCAACTTGCATTTTTTCCAGTTCATTAACTTTTTGGCTTTGCTGGAGTTTTAGGCCTTCTAGTTCATCATTTTTGAGGTACAACATTTCAAGAACATGCCTGAGTTCTAATAATTTGATAGCAGAAACAAAACTAGGTAAGTTCCAAATAAACCAACTGAATAATACACAGCGCCCCAGGATCAGTTTCTACTATCCCCAGTTTAAACATCAACAATAAAAAAACCTCAGATAATAATGCTGGGGAAGACCCCCCCCCTATTGGAACTGGGGCTGGGAACCTGCAACCCTCCAGAAGTTGCTGATATCCAACTCCAATCACCCCTGACTTCACCATGCTGGCTGTAGTTGATGGGAGAAGGAAGCTGGAGCCCAACAACTTCTGGAAGCTTAAGCTCCTTACTATACTGGGCCAAAGAGGCTTAAGCCCTGAATTGGTAGAGGGGAGCTTTATACATAATTTTTTCATGGTGAATTTACACAACCTATGAAATCACATTCTGTTCAGATTTGATCCTCATTTGCAATATTTATATAGAGGAACAGAGATCTTGCAAAAGTTGTAGCTTTCCAGCAGGTGTGGGGTCTGAAGACAGGATTTGTCCCACGTCCCCTGTCAAAAACTAAGATATGTGCAACTAGCCAGAGGCTGCTAGAGAAGAGACTTCAAGTAGCTCTGTTAACCATGCAGAACTGTCAGCTCAGTGCTGTCCCATGCATTCTCATGCAAAATGTCTTGGGAATAGCTTTGAAACAACATTCATCTTTATTTCAAGGTTTTAAACTATCCCCAATCAAATAACCTAAGAAGCAAGAAACCTATGTTTAAGCCAACTGATTTTGGTCTCTCTTCTTAGTTGTTTCTAAGCAATTAGCTTAATCATTGGAACAGCAACCCACGATCTTGTCACCTGGTTGTTTTTGCAAACATGGGTATATTGTGAAGAAAATAGGAATCATTTTAAGCCAAACCTGTCTTATGCTTCATTATTTGCCCCAGGACGTCTTGCAATTTCTCCTCCTCTTTTTGGATATCCTGAGTTACTAGAGAAAGTTGGGATCTTTTCTCACTTAGTTGGGCATTGAGTTCTCCTTTCTGAACACTCAGATCCTCTAGAAAAGACTTTACTTCCTAAGCAAAAGAACAAAAATTGCCATGCTTAAAAAGTATGCTTCTACAGATAGTACAGTTTAGGGATGGGTGAATCTGTCAATTTTGGTTTCTCTCAGTTTTCCAATCTTAAGTTCTATTCTCCATATACCACACCAGTTTCCAATTTTTAAAAAAGTCCTCATATAAATTCATTAGCATTCTAATGACTTTCTCTTAATATACATGTTTGTATGTAATTTTCCCGGATATACACATTTTTGCAATTCTATTTCCCTGACAGTAATGATTTTATGTACACTTTGCCCTGGTATATGCATTGTTTTATAAACTATTAGGCCAGGGAACTATATTGCAAAATTCAGAGAAGTATGATTTTCAAATAATGGCTGTGTTACAGTTTGCATAACATTTTAAGAAGAGTGAATTAAGTAGATTCGCCTATAAGTGAGATCAGAATTGAATTTCTCCTCCACCCCTAGTGCAGTCCTATGCAAGACCTATTAGGTTCAATGGAACTTACTTCCAGGTCAGTGTGAACAGGACTGCAACCTTAGCATGATGGCCAATGCTAATTCTACTCAAGAGTAAACCCACTGAAAATAAAAAATGACTAATTTATGCACAGTACTTTCAATGGGTCTACTCTTGAGTAAAACTAGCATTGGATACAACCCCTAATAATCTTACTTACAAAATTCAAATTGTTGTAACTATCAGCTGGACATTCATTCACAATTTTTGTGACTTAAGACAATGGAATAGTTTCAATATAAACCTTCAAAAGGGAACAGTATCCAAGAAAAATCCAAATTGGCTTCAAAATAAATAAGAGACTAGAAAACCTTTATTTGTCGCCGTTTTTCAGCTACTTCAGCTTCGCCATGCCCAAGAGCTTCTGTTAGGGCAGCATTTTTCTGGGCAATGCTCTCTTGGAGGAGGAGGAGCTCTTTATTTTTTTGACCAAGCAGTCTGTCCAAAATTAGCCTCTCCTGCTGTTGAGCTGCAGTCTACAAAAATGAGGAGAGGGGGAGGGAAAAACACAATGTGGGTCTTTATCGGTCACACTTTGGGACTATGCACTCCCTATGTGACCTCTGAGATTCTTTGAGTAGAGGACACTTGCTACTCTCAAGAGCTGATTTGAGTGTGATGGCTGAGCTATTGGGCTATTGAAGTTCACTCCTGGTTGTGAACTCACAAGGTAGTCTCAGGCAGTCCATTATTCTGTCTGAAAATCCCTACCCCCCCCCCCCTGCTCACTTCCTAACTTCAGTAAAAAGATAAAACAGTAAGTCTATAGGATTGTTATAAGGATTACCGAGATAATACTGTATATTATTTTTATATTTTGGGAACACCCTAAAGTACTACGTAAATACTTATCACCACCACCACCACAATCATTACCACCTATAAGCAGTGTTTCTCAGCAGGGGGATATATCCCCAAGGGGGCATATGAACATCTCAGGGTGGGATTTTCACACACACACACACACACACACACACACACACACACTATTAGCAAAAAACAACAAAGCATATTAAAATACAAAAGTATTAAGTGTTAGATTCAGAAGGTGAGAAGACTGTATGCAGCTTATTACATGATCTGCATGTCATCACAGTTGCATAGTAGTTTGGCATGATCTTCCAAGCACTGCACTGGATAATATACTGTGCACAGCAGTTTATCATGCACAGTGCATTTTTTAAAAACATTTTTTTCCCCCATTATTAAGCCATGAATTTTCTTTCTAATTAATAGTCACAACATTTTGACCCCTTTGCAAAGTCAATTAGAGGAGCCAGGTTTGAAGGGAGGGGGTTGTTTTATGTTAGCTAAAAGGGGTCACAGATTTAAAAAAATTAAGAAATGCTGAGCTCCAGCAGGGGAAACAGGTGCAGCGGCCCTATGAGTGTGAAGTCTGCTGTTGGCAAGCAACAAACAAACAGGCCCTCTCATGTACATTTTATAACATAAATATATTTATATTTAGTCGATGTATCTCTTTTTCTTTTCTACTGATTTACTGTGAGATCACCCTAGACTAAAATATGAGTTTTCAAATGCCTCATTGTACAACTATCTTCTTTTCCTATGTGATCCTCTTTCACTCTGCGAGTACCAATTTTCTAGTTATGCCTTTCTATTCCCTTTTCCTATTCCATCTCACATCCAGCTCTCTTCATACTTGCATCTGAGCACCTCCATAAGACACATTTGTTCACTATGGCTGCTTTCAAATGACCTTCCTTCACTTTCCTCGCCAACGTATCTTGTGTTTGCCTTTAGGTTGAAAACCTGATAGCAAAGCCTGTGATGTTTTAAATATTTCTACAGTACTTAGTAACTGTAGGTGCTTTATTTAAAAAAAGCAATAAGTGAGCTAATAAGATTGATATATTTCATTCTCTTTGGTCAGTAAAAAGGACTTCTGCCCTTCTCATGAAAGCTACTCTTGGGTCTGGCATCTTGGGCGACTTGCATTTCAAAGTGTGGGTGAGGAAGGCTGTACCACCAATTCTACTCACCTGATCCTTCAGCCTCACTAGATCACTCTTTTTGCTCCGAAGAATATTCTCTGCTTCTTTAAGAATTTGGAGGTGGTGATCTTCATTACCTTCTGCAACTTGTATATCTGCCTGCAGCTTCTGAAGGCTAGAAAAGTTTAGAAGCAAAAAATGTTTTTTGAGGAAATGAAAATATGCAGTGGTCCAGTGTTGATCATCTGAATTGCTGAGCTAGTCAGCCACATGGAACTGTCACTAGTTCAGTTCATCTCAGCATCCAATCAGCCTCTCTTGCTGATGCTACATGCCCATTGAAGCACACTGCTGTCAGAAGAGAATTTCTAGGGCCTGGTGTACTGGTAGCCACTAAGAGCAGCTGACAAATTTATAGAGGAGAGAGGATAGGAATATCTAAATAGGTGGGCCTGGTGTGAGACTCAAATGAAGAACAAAGCTCTAGTTCAGGAATGGGGAACCCTGTGTTCTACTGAAGGCCTCATTTACTGTTGGGGTAGCATATGTCACCAATGGGCAGGGTCATCCCTTTTATTTCTCTTTCTGCCACCCCTTTTCCAGGACTAGAATCTAGTCTTTCACAACACCAAGTTTGAACAGTGAGGACTTGTAGAGAGGTGGAGACTGTTCCAAGTGTAGGCATATTTCAGAGGTAGTGACAAATGTATTTGTTTGTTTATGTGTGGCTCTTTTTGGAGTATCATATTATGAGCATTTGTTGCAGTATAAAGTAGCAAGAGGAATTTTTTTCAAGTGAATTAAAAACAAAAACTCTTATGGACTGCCTTAATTAACCAGAAAAATTGATCTTTCACATACTTGAGTTTGAAACCAAACCAATTTAACTTGCCTTTCAGTCAATATTTCAATCTTCTGGCTCAAGGATTGAAATTCAGAATCTTTTGCAGATATAACTTTGTTGATTTCCTTCAGAATCCCTTCTTGTTCTATCTTGTGCTCTTCTAGGTCCTTTGCATCTGCCTGAAGCAATCTGAAAAGCATTAAAAAAACTCTTTCTAGTACTGATTGCTTTTGAGTAGCATTGCAATGATAGGTCCAAATTCTTACAGGGTTTTTATTTTTTAAATCATGGGCCATCAAAGTTCCAAGTTCTAGAATCTAAGACAAAAGAACAAAACTTCATAATCTTCATGCAGCCAACACCCACAATACAACAATCACTTTAAAGTGAGTACACCCTACCTAGCTGCTTTGGCCCTAGCTTGTGTCTGGAAGACAGATGATGTGGTGAGACATGTATGCATGCAGAACCGGAACTTTCTCATCAACTTCCATTAACTTTATTGAACATGCTCAACTTTTACCGGGCTGTTGGAGGGGTGTATTTCCCCACCCCCCATCCCAGCTTTAGCCTGCTAATATATCCCTGTTATGAGACAATTGTTCTATTTGTCCTACATAAGGATCTACACTTTGAGGCTGAGTTTGCTATTAGTATATAGGATGCTGGCTCAAATAGGCTCCAGATGAGGCATATAATAAAATGACTAAGCACACCATGAAAACAAACCAACACTATTAATGAAATATTGATGACTCTTACCAAAGCAGCTGCATTATAAAAAAATAAAACAATCATGCCATTTGTAACAGGCTCCCAGCTGATCCAGAAACCAGGGTGTCTTTGTCTGCCTGTCACTCTAGTCCCTTTCACAGAGTAGCTGTTACATAGTCACTGTGGTGAATGAGGGGATCCAGTGAAACCATAAACAAGTGTGTAGCTTCTATCTTTCTTCAGTCATGTGTGGTGCATCTGCCCAGAAGCCACAAGTGCCCCCTAAACCACAGCATGACCACCCTTGCTATATAGGACCAAATAAAGTGATGTTAACATTTCTGGTTTACCTTAGTTGCTGATCTGCATTTACAAGCTTCAGAGCCATCACCTGAGCCCGCCGTTCAAGCTCTTCAGCTTCTTTCTCCATCCGAGACAAATGCTGCTTAGCACTGTTGTATTTCTGAATAGTCTCTTTGGTCTAGAGAAAGAAAAAGCATTAGAAAAAATACCTCCTATTTCATATACTACTATTCTACTTGTAGCCAAAGTGTAGAGATGTGGGGAGTTCTAAGATCTCCTTTGTAATTCAAAGTTTCTCTGCATCTTCCTGAAACAAAGTAATAAAAATCCTTACTTTCCCCCGAGTATTTTCAAGTTCAGTTTCAGCTTCAGCAAGAAGTCTGTCGGCCTCCCTGAGTTCTGCCTGTCGTTTTAGGAGAGTCTTTCCTATGCATTCTATTTCATCCACAATGTTTTCATGGTGCTGGAGAGATTTCTCTAACTCCAGTTCTGAAATCAGGCCACTCAGGTGCCCATCAATGAAGTCTCTAAAACACAAGAGGGTTAAGAAGTTAATGCAGAAAGTGAATAGCCATCAATAGCTTTTTAAAATTCTAGATTCTCTTAACGAAGGTGACCCAAACAAAAACCCACAAGTGCCACTCCCTGTCTTTCCCTCAATTTTAGCTGATCTCCCTATATAGCTTTCTAAAAACAATAACAAAAAGTGGCTGACCCCTGGGAACTCAAGCACTGTTTTCCCCAATACTGCAACCCTATACTATTACTTTCTCCACAGCAATAAAAAAAGGGGGGAGCAACTACCCTATGGGTAAAGGATCTCACATTGGAAGAAATCTGTGGGCAAAGTAAAATAAAAGATGGGCAGGCAAGTTCAACTGGGTGGGTGGGTGGGGGGGAATGACTTGTTTCAACCAAAATAGGACTGTGTCATGGTAAGCAGGTGGCAATTCAACTTTCACCCCCAATATACTGTAGACTGAAGTGGAGGAGTTGGGCTGAGTTGCAAGAAGAAAAGAACACTATGCATGTGATGGGAGATTTCTTCTTCCTGAGAACCCAGAAAGTCACTGCCAGTCAAAGTAAGCAATACTGACTCAGAACTGGACAATTTGATTTGGAAGAAAGCAACTTCCTACAGGGAGTTTTTAGATTCTTCCTGCTGAAAGCGCATACACAACAGGCTTCTGTGGCACTGTTGAATGGAGAGCAAAGAGGGAAAAATACTTAGGAGACTTGTTAAAGATTTAATACAGCATCCTCACTTTCGCTTATTCCGTTTCTGGGCTATTCTACGCAGCTCTGCTACTTGGTACTCCAGCTCTTCCCTTTCATTCAACAGATCTTGAATGCCCTGATGCAATTCATCCATCTCTTGATCATGTTCACGATGAGAGGATCTAGGACAACTGCTTTTGGGTTGAGACTTTAAGTTTTCTATGCTGTCTTTTAGCCTTGAGATTTCGTTCTCCTGCAACAGATGAATATAAACAGTGCAATGAAACGGTTACTCTTGCTGATTATATAAGGGAGCTTCACTTGCTGACATGATGCTTCCAGCATGTTCACTGCATGATGTGCATTGAGCAGTGGTCTGATTGACACAGAATGATAAACCATGGTTTATTAAACTATGGTATATTAAACTGCAGCTTAGTGTTATGTGTGAACCCAGCCCAGCAGCTTAACTATGGTTTTATTAACAAAGGTTAAAGATTGCTTATTAACCAAGGTTTATAAAGGACTGTCCCTGATGAAAAGCTATAAAGCTGTGAGTTGCAAAAAATCAGACTGCTCTAGAGGCTTTTGCTGGTGCTTTTAACTATTTTGTGATGTGTTAAACCAAAATTTAAGTAAACATCTGCCAGATGCCTCAGCTTCATCTAAGTTTTATTAATTATCATTAAGCATTATGTGTGAATCAGACCAGAGAAAGATCTGAAATGAAGATACATGTCTGAAAAGATGTGGAAGTACATGGCAGAGACAACCTGGGAAGTCACAGTTGGCCATGGCTCTGTGCACTGTATATTTAGATATGAATCTCAGCATCAGTTATTATAGTGTTCACTACATAAAAGTGAAATAGAAATAATAATGTCTGGAAAACTGTGCTGCAGGTAACCATTTGTACCCGTTCTTGAGGTTTAGTGTATTTTACATAAAATACGGCAATTGCAGATATATAAAACAAAACGGATATATACAGACTTCCAAAGAGAAAGAATAAACCCCCAGTTTAATATTGATTCAGTTCCCTGGAATTACCTACAGTATTGGTAAATACTTATTTCTAAGAATATACTAACAATTTACTTCAACCCAAAATGATGCACTGCTGGCAACATGTGTTATCAGCTGGTACTTCTCTCCCAATATGTGCAAAGTACATTACTACACATCAGAGCTTTTCAAACTGTGTGTCATGACATGTTAGTGTGTCAGCTGCAGTGTGTAGGTGTGTTGTGTGACTGCTCCACCTGGGGCTGGAATCTCTGGTTCGCTAGTAGAACTGAATTACTGTGTTGTGAAATGATTCATGTCTAAAAAGTGTGTCACCAACATGAAGTTTGGAAAGCGCTGCTGTACATATTTCCTTGTTTGAAAGACTCAGTAGGAAAAAGAGTCTTCTTTATAAAGCTGAAATCAGTTGGTCTTAAAAAATTATAAACTCCTGGCTAAGGGAAAAATCTTAGCCTCACCAGTTTGCTGGCTAAGGGGCCCAAGGAACTTCTAGTCGCTAGTGTAAGTGCTGCTCTGCCAGTGAAAATGTAGGTATCTCAACAGGATGACACTGAAGTCCCCTTGGCCCCCACCTACAGAAACTCCACTGGTGTAGTCATTTTACCAGCAGAGAAGTGGAAAATATTGAAGAACACGTCCTAAACATCTTCATTTCTCAATCACATCCCAGAAACCAGCTCTGGGGATGACACAGTTAATTCCCTCCCATTGCCGAAAATGGGAAGGCAAAATACTTACTCTAATTTCAAATGAGCCAAGAATCTTACCAAGTTATGATGCTCAGGTATGTTGCAGTGATGTGTTCCAAAAGACATTGAACAGTTAGCAGGAAGAGGGCTATATACAAGCTGAGCTCCAGCAGGACATGAACCATATATAACTGTAGTAGCAGCAAGTGGTCCTCCATTGGCAGAGACAGGAGAAGGTGGGCCACACACCACTGTTGCTGGAGGGGCTGGAGCACCATCTGGAAGCAGAGTGTAAATGATGGAGCCAGGGGGTGGCACAAAAGATGAGGCACTGTGAATCTTCACTTCTCCATTTTCTTGGATCCCTGAATTTTGGGTTTCAACAAAAATAATCCACGTTAAGAGATTAAAGGCATAGTTTAAAAGCCCTCAATATGAGATGGGGACAGAAACACGATAAAAATGATAAGATACATAAAATTAATAAGTTGATTATATATTTGATGGTATTTTTTGTTGTTTACCTGTCTAATTTTATTGCAATTTTATGAAATGCTTTTATGTGCCATGATGAAAAATTGGGGGGGGGGGCTATTAAATAGGCCATACTTATCAAAAAATAAAATATAATAACGAATAATCTCTAGAATAGCTATACATAAGAGCAATATATATGGAGCTGCTCCTATGCAGTCAGGATATTGGTTAAGAATGGCTACAAAAATAGGGTGGTCTGCCCATGCCAGGCTTCAAAGTAGGAAGGCAGAAAGGGGTTCTAAGAAGACAACTATCTTAGCTTTCCACCATGCCTCTGCAGCTAGCAAGAGGAGAAAAGGCCAACCTGGTGACTTTCCTACACCAACAGAGAACAGTTTCTTGCTAGACAGCCATGAACAAAAGCACAAGAACAACTGCCAGACATGGGAAGACAAGCCAACTGACTTACCTCCATTGGAAGGGTCACTCCTGCCTGGTGCATGCACCAAGCACCCTCTGGCAGCAGGACACATGGAACATTCCTTCTTGCTCTGCCCTTTTTTTATTGGGGTCAACATAGGACACTGCAGGCCAACACCAGAATCCTTGGTACTCTGAGATGCAGGAGTGGATGTCTTTAAAACATTTTTAAGAAAGTGAAAGTAAGAATAATGAACAATTTGTGTTGAGGCAAATATTACATGGAGAAAGTCCCTGCTGCCATCTGTGCGCTCTTTGATAAGGAACTGGAAGAGTTCAAGGCAAAGACAGGTGAACAAGGGCCATTCATCAAAGGTGCAAAAAATCTAAAGGCACTAGCAGAAGGAAGGAAATACTCTCCTATGTGCGACTTAGATAAGCTAGTTAATAGTTTGGTCAATGCCAAAGTTAGCTCTTCCACCAAGCTAAACATGTCTAACTGCTAAAAACATTTCTGTTCCAGCAAACATACCCAGGCATGCATTTTTGACACATGATTTTAGTAGATGTAAGTCCTTTAAAAATACTGATTTTATTTTATATTTTCATTTTTTAATGTCTCTTGTTTCCATTTTTGATTGGTATTTTAAGTGAGTATTTTATACTGTCTTGCAAATCACAGAAAGTTTTTTTGTTCTGGTAAGTGGTATTTACAATGAATAGCCAACACTAGGACAACACTGTGCTGCCTGAAAGTTTATGCTTCTTGATCAATATACATGGACATAAACAGAAAAGCATGCAACAACTATCCATGTATAAATAAACAACAGCAGTGATTATATAAATATATAAGCCTATTAAAAGTGGCAACTAACGTGACTGAGATTTGACTAAGTAAATTTCATTTTGAGTGGTGGCTTGGGTTAAACTCCAAGCAGGTGTAACACACACAAAGCAAAAAGTTACTGACTTGAGCAACATGTTTGGAAATGCACTGCACAAAAACTGAAGAATTCTATTAATAAAATGAAGGCAGTCCATGTCTAAGCATTGCTGCTTCACAGGGGATTATCCATGTGTATTGTAATTAAACAAACATCAATATGGAAATGAGCTGCTACCATTTGCAGAGGAGACAAACATATAAATGCAGCCATTTTGCTATGCAAAATCCTCAACTTGAAGCTATTCAACAAACTGTTAGTATTTGTAATGTAATTTCATTGGGAATGTATTTCACAAAGAATAGATGGTATTGGAGAAAGGAGATGGCAGCTGGCAGTTGGAAGTTGGTTGGTTATCCTACGTAGTTCTGTCTTCACTGTGAAGGTGACAGGTGTGGGGACTTCATGCAGACACTGTCTGGAGGATTTTGTAAATAATATTTGTTGTTCAAATGTTGCCAGCCTGACAAGTAAAGATTTATATCCAGCTATTTGTGCAAGGCATATATATTTTCATCACAAATAGCTATCAGAAGCTGCAGCATTTCTTCTTTCTCCAGGTTGTGGCATGTTTCCAAATGTCTGCTATGCAAGGGGGTGAGGGAATTGGCTGAGAAAAGGAAAAAGCAAGAATTGGGAGAGTGGCTGGCCACCTGATCCTCCTGTACAAACTGGCCTCTGCAGTGTCATATTGAAGAAAAGTGTAAACTTTTCTTTTTACAACTGGGCAGTATATAAATTTTGTTAAATAAATGTATAGTTTAGGCCTCAGATTCAGAAGGCTCAAAATATTTCAATGGTTAACTTTGGAGAATTCCTGTTTTTAAGGGGCTTTCCTTGAGGCAAAGGACTTTGAATAAAATGACCTTTCCCAACTATATTAATGGAAAATTACAAGTTATCTCCGAATATGATTTTTCTAAATCGGGAAGCTTTTAATGTTTGATGTATTATAGTATTTTAATATTCGTTTGGAAGCCGCCCAGAGTGGCTGGGGAAGCCCAGTCAGATGGGCGGGGTATAAATAATAAATTATTATTTATTATTATAAATTAATTTAAGTGCTTCTAAAGCAGGTGGGGAAAGATCTCCATATCTGATTCCTTTCCATCATTTGCCACTCTAGTTTTCATACTTGCGATGATGGCACATAATACAGATGGCCCCTCCGTTGCAGTGGATTCATTATGCTGGTGATAGCGTCATTCTGGTGAGATATAGCATGCCTGAGTGCAGCAATTTCATCCAATATGCTGTCAATTTCTTCCCTATTGCCTGCAGAAGAATTTAGATTTTTAGCCCATTATATTTGGGAGGACTACAGTTAATTAAAGAACCCCCCCCAAAAAAAATCAGACTCAGCATTCCATTTATACCAATACTTCCTTTGCTGGATGGAATCTCAATAGCTGAGGTCGTAGTAAGGAGGTTGACACTCAAAGCAGTGCTTTTAAACCTGCATCTCAGCAGTTTAAATGACTTCCTTTCATACACTATTTTCTTTTTCTGACATGCGCGATCTCTAGCAGCCCCATGCTTGGGCAAAAAAAATAACAGGGAAAATAAACTTAAGAAGGAAGAAAAAACAAGGGCTGTATCCAATGCCGGTCTTAAGCAGAGTAGATCCATTGAAAATAATGGGCATGACTTAGATCCATTAATTTCAATGAGTCTATTCTGAGTATAACTTAGTTGGGTAGACCCCAATTGTTTCTTTAAAAGACTCTGAGACACAACACTTACCCACCCCCACCCCCCACTGGAAGACAAATTATGAGAAAGCTGCTCTGACCTAGAGAGGTAGTAAAAAAAATCTAGGGTGGAACCTCGTCTGCCTGCCTAGGTCTACAAAGCAGGACCACATGACCTTGCTGGTCCTGGACAATGGGTGGAACAACACATGTCTGGACAGAGAATGATGGGAAGACATCTGAATTAGTTTGAAAACATGCTCCAGGAAAAAATGGAAGGAAAGCATTACCTGTCTGAACTTGATCTAGTACATGGTGCAGTCGGTCAATTTCTGTTTTTTGGCATTTCAATAGCTGCTTTAATTTACCAATCTCCTCTTTCTGAAAAGCAGAAGCTGCAGTCTCGGCATCAGCTTTTCCCACTTCACTCTGAAACTATTAAAAAGCATCTTAGTCAAATTTTCTCATGTTTTGCCCTTGTGTACATTGGAGTAAAGCAACATCAGAGTGCACAATGTAAAAAAAATGTAGATGAAGATTCTACAGGCCATTTTGATCCTATTTTCTGAAAAGGGGTTTAAAATGAGCAAGTCTTGGCCTCACATGCCATGTCCTGACTTCTCTCTCTCCAGGCAGATTAAATCATTACTGGCTCAGTCAATTTGAACATTTGTATATCACTGAGATTTTCTGTCCCTTGAAATCAATATATCTGACCAGGACTTGAATTTTTAGAACTCAATGGGAGACACATCACTAAGCCTCATAGTTTTCATATTCATGTAAGAATTTTTCACTCTTGCCTCTATTTCGTGTTTCTTATCAATGTGTACAGTAAGGGGACTGATAACTTACCCATTCCTCCTTTTCTTTCAGAAGTTTCTGCAACAATTCTATTTCTGATTCTGCTCTGGCAAGATCTTTAGAAGCTTGAGTAGCAAGCATACAGAACTTCTCTGCTTCCTGAAGTTCCTACAGAAGAGGAAAAGGTGTTTTACTTAGCTTATTTGATGCAATTGTTGATGTTTTGTATTATTATTACTATTTAATAAATTTAGTAGTTGCCTGTCACATAAAGAATCTCCAAGTGACTTACAAAATTGTACAATCATGAAGTATAACAGAAAATCAAAAAGAAACAATACATTACAATAACAATCATACATTAAAACACAAAACTGTCCCAATAAAATAGCAGCAAAACATACAATAAACAAGATAGTATTGATTATAAGAAATCAATACTTTGACCAGAGCAGTGGTTCCATCCCTTCTCTGTTCCTCTTTCACTATGCTTATTCTAGGTTCTCAATACAGTCAGGTGCAGAGCCTTCTCTGTTAATAATAACAACTACATGATATTTTATTATTAAATGAAATCAAGAAAGTTGCTTCCATGCAGAAATGTATACCTTAATGATAAGAATGACTAATAGAGACTGAAACACACTATGTGGTGCAAGAGAAGTAGTTTCAATTCAGTTTTACAATTTTACCAATTATGTACCTCACTGCGTTCCTGATTAATTTTGCATACAGTTCCACGGAGTGACCTGAGCTGATCTTTGGCTGCACAGAGATCTGCTGCTGCTTGTTTATCTGAAGTAGATATTGCTCTCTTTAACTTCTGCAGCTCTTTATCAATGTCAATGAATTGCATTTGTGCCTTAGCATCTTCCACTTTTTTCTGAAAGAGCGGGAAAATGCTATTCAACAGATGTGACAAAACAAACAACATACACACACAAATATATGTATATCTTGCTTTCTTCTCTGGTAGGATGCATTCACATTAAAATATAAGCAAATAGTGCAGTATTTTTTAAAGTGTTGTGCAGAGGGACATGTCTTACTAGTCACAGGCTTTTTAATAGGAGTAGCCCTACCCTATTCTCCAGATATTCTAGTTGTGCAAGAATTCTTTCTTTCTCCTCATCAGCCTCTTGCAACTGTTGATCTGTTAGGCCCTGGATTTCTTCCATATTCTTCAGCTTTTCACTTAGATGCTGGATTTCATTCTCTAGTTGATGTACTCTGGCTTCATTCTGCATCTTCTCAGATTTAATCTGAAGTTGAAACAAAGGGAAGATGATGAGAGCTTGAGGATAGTTGCAATCTTTCCTAGGGCATAAAGTTAGCAGCATGTGGAATCTTTTGCAAAAGCCTCTGCTTTTTACCTCCTTTACAAACAAGTACATTTGGTCCTTTTCCAAAACTGCAAATAGTAGACACACCATGAAAAAGGCAACATAAAATCATCACCAATTTGAAGTTTTCCAATATAATAATTCAGGGTCACCAATGCACATGATCACTCATGATTCCATATCAAAAAAATGCCCTCAAGGAAATATAATCTAAATTCAACAGCAAGGCAAAGAAGAGAAAAACAAGGTAATTGGGATGGAGGTACAATCCTATAGGAGTTGTCTCAAAAGAAAATTCACTGAGTTCAGTGGGGTTCACTCCCAGGAATTATGGCAAATAATTGTTACCACTCAAGGTAAGTACTGGATTAAGCTTTATGGAAAAGTTTGATTTTGAGGAGGGATTGAAGGAAGACAGACACAAATCATGCAAATATTCAGGAAGGATTGACATGTATTTGACCATTAAACAAGGTTTCTGTCAAAATAATTGTGGCAATTCTTTCCTTAAGAATTTTACAGCGAAAACTTTTGTGGACACCTGATGAAGTAGACTCTGGTTTATGAAAGTTTATACCACAGTAAACCTCTCTGTCTTTGAAATACAAGACACTTTGTTGCAACAGACCAGAATGGCTATCTCCTTGGAAGTTCCTTTCTCTCTCCTTTTGGTAATACAGTGGTACCTCTAGATGTGAACAAGATCCGTTCTAGAGCCCCGTTCGCATCCTGAGCAGAACACAACCTGCGTATGTGCGGGTCACGATTCGCCACTTCTGCGCATGCGCGTGACGTCATTTTGAGCATATGCGCATGCACGAGCGGCAAAACCCGGAAATAACCCATTCCGTTACTTCAGGGTCACCACGGAACACAACCTGAAAATGCTCAACCTGAAGCTACCCTAACCCGAGGTATGACTGTAGTTGGTTCTCTTACTTTGGCTTCTGCAGCTTTGTTACAGGCCAGCCTGTATTTTTCTTGTGCCTCTTCCAACTTAGCTTGCTGGGATGTCATCTCCTTCTGAAGCTGTCTCTCTCTGGCCTGGATGGCCTCATTTTCTTGCTGAGATTGAGCAAGGACCTTACCAAACTCTTTCTGTAGATCTGCAAGGCTTTTCCCTAAAATATCCTTTGCATTATGGCACCTGAAATAATCAGTTATACAAAAATAGGAAAATACGTTATGGAGAATTGCTACCTAGGCTTACCATCAATGCTCATCTGAAGACCTGTGTCTTATGGCTAAACTAAATGTTGGACGTTTTTGCCAAAACATCTAAAAAGCAGTGGCAGAGCAGAATTTGAAGAGAAGTAGCAAGTTGGTAGGTAAGAGATACTTCTTACCCCATTCACACTCCCATGCCCAGACTGTTATTTTCCAGCTACAGCAAACACACATCTGCAAACTCAAGATGGGGAAAAAGTGAGGGGGAGGGAGATAGGGTTGTGAAGAATAGGTGAGGGAAGGGTCTGTCAGTTTTAGGATGTTTTGTGAAGACTGAGATTCCCAGTTTCAAGTCTTTCCATCCATTTTGACAGCAGCATATTACTTTGAGACTGAAGGCCATTTCATACAACTACAAAAAAAGAGGTGTTCTGCAGAGTGTTCTCCATCTGAAAGAGTGATGCTTATCTTCAAACACTGACAGATACACAGCTGGGAACTGCCTAGGCATTAACTAGCCAAGTGTTTGCAGCTAGATCTCCCCTTCTGATAAAGGTATGAAACCTCTGAATTTAGCTCACCTGAATTCTGCCCCAGTCTGTAGATTTTCTTTGAGTTCTCTCACACGAGCCAAGAATTCTTCAGGATGAATTAAGCTGTCAACTGCATGATTCAGTTGATTTTGAGTATCTTTAAGCTGCTGCTTCAAAAGGTTATTATCTTTCTGTAACAAAAGAGATTTCAGAGGTCGCTTTTACCATTATATGCTTTCAATGATTTCTTCTTGCATTGACTGTATAAGAATGTAAGAAGACTAAACATAACGCTTATTTCACTGCATTTCTTCACTAGCATAGCTGACCTGTGGAGCTAAATGACTAGTTGCTACAGAAAACAATCAATAAATAAAGCATGATAATTTCCCCTATTAACTCTGGATGATTTCCAAGATACAACTCTTGTTAATCTTTAACAGACACACAAGAAAGAATATACAAGGTGGTTGCATGATTGACTTTCAACAGTTGGAGCCTTTTGAAGAAGGTTATATATCAGACTGCCAGACATGCTCTCTGAAAAACAAAAAAATATGAAAAAAATACTGTACCTGTAGCTGTTTAAGATGAGAAAGCAGTTTATTATTTTCCTGTTCTCTTTCTTCTGATAATTGTGCTTTTGTCAAGGCATTTTCTAAAGCTTGCCTTTCTTTGCTGAGTTCAGCCTGGAGAGCAGAGTGCTCCAGCTACCCCATCCCAAAAAGAAAAAAGAAAAAAATTCTCACTTTCCTCTACAAAAAAACAATGAATTAGGTAACATTTGAATAGAATATGTATTTTGCAAGGACAGCTTGTTCTTCTAAGGAAGACATTGACAGTCCATAAAACAAGCAAACTTCTCAATTTCCATTTGCCCTATTGTCATGACTGGCCTCTTTTATGCATAATGATATCAGGCTTGAGTAGCATGCTAGTATGAACATGCTGCTCAATCCTAATATACCATTAACCATGGGATATTGTATGAGTTGCCAACCCAGCACTTGTGGGCATACATTGGTCCACCAAAATTTCATGGGTGCCTGAGGATCATCACCACCATCCCTTTTGCCACTGCAATTAGGCTTGAAAAAGCCACATTGTAGCTAATAGAAGGCTTCTTTCAAGTCTAATTACAACAGAGGAACAATTTGAGAGGCAGAGGGTCACAGTTGGCAGGGGAGTTGTCACCCTGATGTCACCTCTTACCAACTGCCGTAAGGGTTGAAAAAATTGTTACTACCTAGAATTTTTCAAACCTAAACGCAGCAGTGTGTGAGAGAGATCTTCTTTGAGATAGCACCTAGAAAAGGAAGATAAACCTTCCCTCTCCAGTTGCACTCCCCAAGAGATCATGCCCCACCTATCTTGGTGGGGAGGGTGGATAAAAACACTTTTTCAAGCCTAATTGCTGGGGGGAATGTGTGCATGCATGTGCATGTGTAGTTGCAGTATGGGGTGGGTTGTGCCCACAGGAGTTTTTCACACTTCAAAATGTATTCATGGGCAATGTACAAACCGTGACCATGTCTTGATTGTCCTAGTACTATAAATCTGTCCTGAACCTTAATCAATAATTTAGGATGCTGTATGGGTTGGGTTGGGTGGACCCTTTATTCTTTTTGCTTGGGCCAGCCCCATGACCCTAGTACACCTCCCTTGGGCCAATGCATTTGACACGCCTAGATTAGCCTCTGCTACCAATTTGAATCACTTTAAGAGGGTCAAAACTCTTTCTCATAGAACTAAAAAGGTTCATTGGGAGAAAGATTGAGAACATCAACATCTTTCTGACAATACTAATAGCTGCTTTTTGATTGGTGGGTGACAAGGTAACACAGACCTAACAGGAATCCTCACAGCAGGAAACTGTTCATTGAGTAAGATAAAGTCCCCCAGCTTCCTCAATCACAATGCTTCAGCAATTCAACTCCTTGTCTTAGAATCATAGAATTGTAGAACTGGAGGGGACCCTGAGGATCACCTAGTCCAAACCCCTGCAATGCAGGAATATGCAGCTGTCCCATACAGGGATTGAACCTGCAACCTTGGCATTATCAGCACAGTGCTTTAACCAACTGAGCTATGTCTTCTTTCCCTACTGTGTTAAAAAGCCAGAGTCCAATCAGTTTAAGCCACTGGAAGAGCTGGCAGGACCAGACAAAATGTCCCTCAGCCACCCACCTACCTGAGAGCTCTTTCCATTTCACTATGACTACTACCAACCTGGATTCTTTACAGATAAGTTTTAGAAAAAAGAAGTCACGTTTTGGAACCTATATGGATTGGGAGAAACATGAAAGGTATAAGGAAAGGAGACATTTCTCTCTGAATGTCCACTTACTTGACCGTGTTGTTTTAGCCTCTGCAGTTCTTCCTCATGCTGATTGGCTTCAATGTCTCGGGCTTTCAGTTCAGCCTCCAGCTCAGCCTCATATGTGATATGTTCCCTTTGAGTCTCATGCAGGGCTTCATTGAGCTCTCTTTGTTCTTCAAGTGCCTGCTCAAGGTCTGCGATCTCCTGGAACCGAAAGTGTGTTTTATAATTTTGAGTTCATCAGTTCTCCATTAACATGGTTGTAGCATGTATCCCTGCTAAACAGAGACTGTGCCCCTACACATGTACCACGGGGGCAAGGGGTGGGGGGAAGGGAGCTATGCCACCCCTGCTGCTGGAATGGAGGCTTACCTCCCCAACATACTATTTTGAAGTCCATAGGATAAGATGTACATAACTGATGGCAAATGTGGGTTTTCCAATTCTGCATATTATCCCAGTGTGCGATGTGACAGAAAAAATGGATGTTTGCAGAGGAAAAATGGGATGGGAAGGATGATCAAGCTTTCCATACCAGCTCCTTCCCCCCCCTAGTGATAGAAAACATCCTGGTGTTGCCAGGATGACAAGTAGGATGGTCAAACATGCCAAGGTCTACAGAGCATCAGCAATTGTTCTGATTCAGGAAACTGCAATACCATGATTAGTGGCAGGTGGTTGTGAGCTGCCCACCAGCTATTAATACAGTTTTAAACAAACAAAGACAATTACACTAAAATAAAAAAATGACCACATTTAATCACATTTTTGAGTAGGTCATAAATACTTTTCAACTACCAGGGCAAGGGTAGAGAAGTGGATCTTCAGCACATGACAAAAGCTGTAAAGTGAAGATGCTGGGTGCACTTCAGTCAGGAGATTCCACAAATCTGGAGCCAGCAAAGAGAATGTCCTCTGCTGGGCCACAACCACTCACCCACCAACCTTATGAGTGTGGCAAAACATTACTCTAGCATAAAACTCTGGTGTTTAAAAGCTTGCATTGGCTGCCCATATGCTACCAGGCCAAGTTCAACATTCCTGTATTAATTTAGAAGACCCATAACAACTTTGATCCTTAAAGACTGATCAATTCCATATATCCCTGTCCAATCACTGAGGTCTTTGAGGAATTTAGTATTGTGGGTCCACCCCAGTAGAACTCCCACCTGGCTGAGATCCAGCAGGCCGCCTTTCTCTTGAACTTCCAGAGGTTAGTGAAGACCTTCTCAATTTAGTAGGCATTTTTTTCCTGATGTTACGGTTAATTTTAACTGATTTTATCTCCATTATACTAGTTTTGTAACTTCACTGTACACCTCTTAGAGACTATGATGTTAAGCAGTACAGTGGTACCTCGGTCTACGACAGCCCTGTTAACGAACTATTCGGTTTACGAATTCCACAAACTGGAAGTAGGTGTTCCGGTTAGTGAACTTTACATCGGTCTACGAACGGAAGCCGATTGGTGGAAGGGTACTGGCGACGGGAGGCCTCAGTGGGGAAAGTGTGCCTCAGTTTAAAAATGGCTTTGGTTTAAGAACGGACTTCCAGAATGGATTAAGAAGTTCGTAAATCGAGGTACCACTGTATATAAATTGTTGAAATAAATAAAAAGGTTCTGCCAATCTTAACCTCATTGTTTTGTCCTGGTTTCTAAATTATGTTTACCAGTGAGGAAAAGCATCAGGACTTTTTGGAATATAACAGTTCTTGCATCTTACTTTTCTCAGGTTTTCTGCATCCATAGCAACTATCTCCAGCTGGTTTCTCTCCTCCTCGAGTTCTTCCAGCCTTTGCAATAACACCTCTTTATCCCTCTGCAACTCCTTGCATTCCTCACTGGTTTGTTTGGCCTGACTCTTAACACTCTCTAGATATTCCTGTAACCCAATGATAATTCCTTCCAGGTCTTTCTTCAGTGCATCATTTGCTGCTATTTGGCCTGTGAATGGTAGAGGAGAAAGAGTTAAGAAATATGAAAAAAGAAGTATTTCAGTTTGCAAGGGAACACCAAAAAGTCATGAGAGCTATCCCTGATTATCTGAAGGTGAGGTGACATCACTGAGCATGTCTCAAAATAGACTTACATAGGAGACACAAACTTTGATTTCAGTATCTGAAGTGACAGCATATTTGCATTTACCCAACATTTATGTTTTAAAGAAGAAATCTGGTCCAATAAGACTGGCAGCCATGTACATTTTTACTGTGTTTGTAACTCTGTTAGATCAGCACAGTAACATTAAAATAAAGTGGGGAAGGGAGGGAGAAATACAGCACTGGATAACCAGGAATTGCAATGACAATGTTTCCCCCCAGAAACTATACATTTTTTCTTTAAACCTAGCCAGTAAAAGTTCACAAATTTTAAGTTAGGTGGAAAGTTCCATTTCTCTTGACCAGGATCTCATCATTTCTCTAGGTAGTGCCACTTTTCCTCACTTTCCTAACTGCTCTAAGAGAAAATCAACAAGAGTTCTTCAGGAAACTAATCTCCAGAGACTTCCACCAAGAGTTCTCATACTATAAATGGGAAATAACGCCAGGATAAAAAATTCTACTTGACTAAACAACAGTAGTAGGTATCTTACACTAGTAGGTGACCTCACTTGAATCCATCAAATAAAGTCATCCCACAAACCTCTTCAGTGAGCTGGAAAGATACCTGGATGCCATTTATGGGTTTCCTGCTAGGAGAGGCAGAATGCTGCTTTGAGGCTTTCAGAATTTGGTTGGTATTGGTGTGCTCAGAAGGGAGAACCAAGGTGATGGAGTTTAATCTCATGCCACGTATTAAGGATAGCTCCACATTTCAAATAACAAACATGGTTGCTGCATTTATTAAGTGAGCACTTCCTACAGCAAATACTTAAAAGCATGCATATGTACATCTAAGAACTGTTGCCTGTAGTGTGTAAAATCTGTATATGCTATGTAAACTATGGAAAAGCCCAAAGCCTCTGAGCTAAAGTCTGTTTTGAATAACATTTTTACCATCTGTGAGCTGTTGCTCCAGGTCCCTAATTTCCTCAGTTTCCTTTGCAATCCGAGACAGCATGTCATCCAGGCGACTTTCAAGATGCTTGTAATGCTTGTTCATCATGTCAAGTTGTTGTTCTTTGCTTGCTTTCTGAGCCTTCATATGAGCCTGTGAGTGGAAGTTAAATGGACATCTCAGGGCAGTAGTTTAAAAACAAACAAAGCACCCCAAACAATCCTGATCTTCCCGCACCCTTGCCACAAATGTTCTACAGCAGGGACGGGGAACTTTCTGATGATGCTGGACTACACCTCCTATCATCTCTGAGCACTAGCTATATTGATTGGGGCTAATGAGAGTTGGTAGTTCAACAACATCTGGAAGGCTAAAGTTTCCCCATCTCTACTTCACAGTACAGAACAATGAAAGCTATCTTATGCCAAGTCTGGTTAATTTAGTATTGGCTGGGGCTCTCCAGGGTCTTTAAAGCCCAAGAATGAAACCTGGGACCTGCATGCAAAGCATGTGCTCTACCGTTGAAGTATGTTGCTTTGCCTATATGATTAACCTAATTATGTAAATGGACAATGTTACTTCAGTCACAGGGCTTTCAGCTAGATGGGCTTCAAGTTTCTTACAATTCTGACCACAGCATATATAAATTCTTAGGAGCAAACAATTTGCAGGAAGTTTGAAAATGATTGAAAAATATTTTATTTTATTTTATTAAATGTATATGTTTTTTATTTTATTTTGTTGAACAGTAGAAAAATCATTTATAAGCAGTATATCCTTCTGGGAGAAGCCCACAGGGATCTACTTTTGTGAAGCTGGTAGGCCACATCATTTCTCACACCTTTCTCCAAACTATTTCCTTCTGCATTAGTTGAGTTGGCTTTGCACACCTGGAATTTCTACCTGGAAGAACTTTTATTTTTAAGATTTGAAGCTTGTTTTTTTAAAACAAAATCCTTAAAGTGGCTAGCATCTTACATATAATTTATTAATCTGTGCTCTCTCTCTCTCTTGCCTCTATACATACCACTGGTGCCATCTGTGGAGGAGCCATGGGGGCAGGGCTCCCTAAAATTTTCAAGCAGCACTCCCTAAATAAATTTTTTAAAAAAATCCACTATGATCCTCAAAGGGATGCACCAGTAGGAAACGCTGGCCCGTCCCTTTGATGATCACCAGGCCACCTTCCATGAAAGTGCTCTGGTGGAGATTGCGAGAGTGGGAGATTGCCAACGAGAAGCATCTTCGTGCTGGCTTGTCCTCTGCTAGGGATGTGGTGAAGGGGTGTGTGGCATGCTGAGTTGGCCTGGATGAGTTGGGGGGGTGGCACATGTATGTTGTTTTACACACATTACAGGCCCCTGCAATGTTGGGGGCAACTCAGCATGCCCAATATATACTGAATGCCTAACCAATATGAGACTCATGCATTCCTTGTAAAATTGAGCACTAATAATAAAACATACCATTGTGACAGCTTCATTCAACTGTGCCCTCAGATTAAGCATGGTAATTAGGAGATGGTGCACATAGTATCTTGTAAAATTTAAGAAGAAAACTCCCACCACCACCACCTAGTCTGCTAATATGATTCCTGATCCCTAGAAGAATGTCCAAGAATGAAGGGGCATAAAGTGACATCCTATGTTGCATTTTCTGCTTTCTTTCTGCAAAAAGTGTAATTCTAACCTTCACTCCCAATGTCACTGTGCTAAGTGTCTCTCTACCTCCAAATAGGGAAGTGTACAGTGTGATGACATCAGGGTATAATGTAACGTATTCTGCCTTACAGAATGATACAACTCAACCCACGGGTGCTGTAGCTGCAGCCCAGTGCTTCTTATACACTACCATTCTCCCCTTAAGTTACACAGACCATTCTGTAAACCCTTCTCAACCCAGTCAGACTAACCTCATATGCCTCTCTCCAATGAGTGCTAAAGAAATTGGATACTAGATCTTCTGCATTAAAATATAAGCCAATAATTTCAGTTTCATGCCAAAATATTATTTGTATACTTCTCCCCCCAAAATCTACAACCCAGATTTTATTTTATTTTGTCAATAACACATTTATTCAAGCTGCTATAACCAGTGTCAACTGAACACAGCTATGTGTACCATTTCTCTTAAGTACCATACTTAACCACAGTTGAATGAAACTGTTACAATGACAAGTTTGGTTATAAGCTTGATAGTGTTTGCTTGGCTTAGAAACACAGTGTCAAATCTTACAGGGCAGACTACTTCCATTCATGGTTTTAGGCATCCAACATGCATCCAACATGGTACATATTTTTTATGAACCAAAAATAGCAGAGTGCTAATTGGCATAAAGAGTACAGAACCAGCCCCCACAAAAAATAGTTAATACAAAAATGCAATCCAACTATCCGATGGTACTTTTAAAATAAATGCACAACTCCACCAATTACACTTAAAACAAAAACCTTATTAGTTAAAATTCCAGGAAAAAGCATGCTTTCCTAAATACTGAGGTAATGCAAAATGGCTGAAGCAAAAGTTTCACTTTATCAGACTATCCCCATACCAAATCTTCATTTAATTTTCTGAGCAGATAACAAAAGAGGCAAATGTCCAAATATCCATAATAAGCCAAGTCAAGTCTGTCCTGTTTTAAAAGTATCTATAACTTAGCAATGTTATCTTCTAAAATTGTATGCTGCTGTTGAGATTCCTCAATGGTATTTTGAGGGAGGGGAGAGGGAGGCACTTACAGCGTTTGCTTTGTCTTTTCTTCTTTTCAAATCCTGTGTTGAAAGCCCCACTTAAAAGTTGGAATTCATTGTGAAAGACGAGCAGTACTAAAAAAGTAGCTCAGCTCAAACACGGTTTCTCTTAATCTCTATCTAGTCTCGTACACCAAACTTTTCTGTTTGACAGTTGCACTTTGGTTAGGATGTGGTTTGAAAGGGGGAAACTAAGCCCCAGGAGCTGTGAGAGCTCTTTGTCAGGCCTGCACAGTGGTAACATGCGCTCCAATCCCTACTTGTTTCAGCTAGCTGGGCTGCGTCCTGTTTGCTTCAAATCACAACACAGGAAGCAGTGCAGGCAGCCAATCAACTCTACAGCTTGTAACAGGCAGCTCCACTCTCCAAGAGGCTGAGCTTAAATAAAGCAGTTTCCTTTCATTTAGAAAGCCTCCCTGAAACACACAGAAAGTTATTATTGGAGAGACTGAGGTCTTGGACTGTTGACTTCACAATTTCTTTTTATAATCAGCCTCTGAGCTTCAAAAATAAGCCAGATATGAATGAGACTTCAAGTATATCCACATAACTGGAAAGCATGAAAGGCTATACTAACTTTTTGTTTTGCAAAACTTTTTTTTACTTTTTGCAAAATATGGATCTCTTAACATTTATAGTTTGTTTGTGCCAACATAAAATTGTTTGGTTTATTAAAAGGAATGCATTTTTTAAATGAAACTAATATTTATGGGGTAACTTTGTATCAGATTCTTGTAGCCCAGTTGTTTGCATGTTTAGCTAGAAGCAAGCCCAACTAAGCTTGGTGCAACTACTGTAGTCCAAAGTGTGCACTGAATTGCAGCCTTAATTATGCATAACTGCTCTCTTGGGACAATGGAATGGTCTGGTCTGCCTAATTAGAGCTTTGTGACACCAAGAAGCTTATACAGTTACACCAATAAATGTAGGTCCAGTTTGCATTCCTTATTCTGTGTGATCAATTAAACAAAGCTATCCACACCCAAAATAGTTAAAGGCAACTTTAAAATATGAGTCATCTTGAGATTAAGAAACCAGTCAATCTACATTGTTTTAGAAGGAATGACAATTTTTCTCTTAGGGTGTGTCTGCATCACATGCTGCCTTGCGGAGAGAAGGAAATATGTTACTTCTCCTTGTTTCTGTCCTGCTAAAACATTTCTAACCAATGTGAGGTTAGAACTTAGCCTAGCATGTGCAGCAGACTGCATCAACTTTTCCTGAGAAATAAGACTTTGTGCATACTATTTCAAAAAACCACAAACTCATCTGCAATAGCTCAAAAAATATGTTTAATAACAAATAATACTGAGCTTGGTTGGCTTACTTAGCATAAACATGCTTAGGGTCATGCCACATGGTTGCTTCTTAAGATAAGGGCACAAATGAATCATATTTGTGTGTGAATATGGATTGAAATGTCATGTGAGGGTAATATAAGCACCTGAATAGAGGGAGGACTATAGCTCAGTGGCTGAGCATCTGCTTTGAATGCAGAAGCTTCCAGGGTGAATCACCAGCATGTTCAGGTAGGGCTGGAAATGGCCCCTGCCTGAAACCCTGGAGAACTACTGCCAGTCAATGTAGACAGTATTGAGTTATATGGCACAGTGGACTTCCTCAGTATAAGGCAGCTTCCCACATTGATTTAAAAAGGATAATGGCTAGAATACAAAGAGCTATTAGGTGAACCTTGTGGAACATTTTGACTTTTTTTTGGAATAGCAAATCTCCATACTCAGTTTCAAAAGCAGTTTGCCATGCAGACTGCGGATGGCTGATTGACCATCTTGAGCATGCATAGTCCATTATCTGGAATATTCTCACATGGTATTTTTTATCTGTCACATGATCTGAAAGACTGCAGCCATGCTTTTAAAAGAACAATGTAGAATGGGTCCCTGAGGCCACCCAAACATTCCTTCTGGAGAAGGCAGGCAGGCCTGGAAAAAAAGTACAGTGGTACCTCTGGATGCGAACGGGATCCGTTCTGGAGCCCTGTTCGCATCCTGAGTAGAATGCAACCCATGACTGTGCATCTGCACGGGTCGCAATTCGCCGCTTCTGTGCATGCGTGTGACGTCATTTTGAGCGTCTGTGCATGCGCGAGCAGCGAAACCCGGAAGTAACGTGTTCCGTTACTTCTGGGTCGCTGCAGAGTGTAACCTGAAAATGCTCAACCTGAAGCATATTTAACTCAAGGTATGACTGTATCTCCTTTCTCAATGCCAAGAGATGAAACATAGCAAGCTGACTAGGCAGGAAATCTCTTTCTGCACTCGCTTGCTGTGCACAGAGAAAGGGAAACTCCTGTCACACACCCAAAATAAAACAAACTGACCATGTAGGAAGAGATGTATTCCTGCATGGCTAGATTTCTGCAGAATAGTATGGAAGAAGCAAGCATGTCTCAGGAAGACTGTTTGGGTGTGGATGAAAAAGGCCCAGTGGGCCAGAGGCTCTCCATACCAGATACAGAAAGAAGCAGACCTTGAAGTAGCCTGCTTCCAATCCATTTATTACTTGAAAATGTCGTGACCAGGACTCCAGAGTTCCAATATCAAATTAATAATTGCCCTGGCTGTTGGAAAACTGGCACTGGGCTTAACATTGATTCTTGGTACACCAGAATATGGACAATAATATTGGCTAAGAAATTAACATGTTAGGACAGAGCAGCAAAGGGCAAACACAATTCCTATTCCTTTTATAACATAGGGCAAATGTTTATTTAATACATAAATTGTTCAGACTATGGCAGGAATCCACCCAATACGCATGGGAAAATATGGCATAATCTCTTAGAGTAATCTAATTCAACTTTATTACATAGCACGACCAAAGTCAGTAATTTTATTGGGACATGTTGCTTATTGTTTACTGTGGTAGCAATGGCTTTCTCAAAATGTATCTTCTGTACCATATAAAATAAATAAAAACATAAAATGTTCAAATTAATAATAATATCACCCTAAGATGCAGTACTAATACATATTCACCACCCCATGAATGCATATATTTTCTTTTCATAAATGAAGCTTGTTTCATTATATGAAGGAAAGAACCTAGGGAACTGCATCTGAACCTATGAACTTTTCTGATGATGTTTCAGCAATGTGCTAGTTAAATGTCAAACACTGTATATGTTTATTAAAATATTTTTGAAACAATTCTTTAGAAAAAATATATTTTAATGGGCAGAGATACTCCACTGAAATTTAGCAGAACTCTTTTCCTACAATCCTGTGGGCACAGTGTAATTTACTCTATTACTCAAACAAAACTAGATTCTAATTTTATTCCTGCTAACTGGATATTTATTCAATAATTTAATTGGCATTTCCTATTAATACTATATATATTGAATTCATGTATATATGTGTGAGTAAAACTTACATGTCTTGGGTCTTCAGGATCTAGAGAATCTATAAAATGCTGCAGTTCTCCTAACTCCTTCTCTTTTTTGGCCATGTCTTCCTGCTGCCTTTCCATCTGTTTCTCTAGTTCTAGAGCTTCTTCTCGTAGTTGATTTAGGAGAAGTATCTTGTTGCTTAGCTCTTGCCTAAGACAATCCTTTTCCACGTCTGACATCTAGATTTGAACAAACAGAAAACACACCTAACTAAGATTGAGATACAAAGGATTCAGAGACTACACAAGCTGTATGGTTTAAAAATATGATTCAGCAATTTTCCTTGTGAACTTGAATTCTGCAGTGTGGGCCCAATTCTATAAATGCTTACGTAGAAATTAGTCCCAATGCAGCCAATGCATCTCAAGTAAACATCCACAGGGCTATCAGTCTATGACTGCATTTCACAGGGAAAAGTTATCTATGAAAACCTGCCTTTTTCCTTAGTGCTACATATGGCCAAGTGTTGGAATAAGGTATGCAGCTTTACTGTGCAGCCCCAAAGCATTAGATTGGAATGCTTGAAATTTGGCAATTATGCACAAAAAAATAAACAGGTCTTTTCAATTGTTTCAGTTTATTGCCACATTGTTGTTTATTAAATTTGTATACTGCAGTAATGCGTATACAACATAAAAATACAAACTGAGAACACAACATACAGAATGAAACAAAAATGAATCAATACCCCCCCTCCCACAAACACATTTAAAAGGCCATAGTTACAGAGAAATGTTTTCACCTTGTGCCTATAAATATGCACAGAATGCTCCAGGGGAGAACCTAACAGGGGAGTAGAGGCTTATATACATACCTTTTTCTGAGCCACAACATCTTGGACTAGTTTAAGCTCCTCTGTTGCTTTTAAAACACGTTGCTCTGCATTGGCTACTTCACCTAGCAATTCTGTTAATTTTTCTTGGGCTGGGAAAATGAGAAACAAATTATAAAGACATGCCAATTGCAGCTATCCAGTGCCAACATGGACATATGTTGCAGTTATGGTGAATGTCTCCAGAAGGGTAGAAAGCAGCGGTCACAATCCAGGGAAGTGCACAGGAAAGTTTGTGGATGCTGCAAGTCTTTTAGGCTATAGTGCTATATACACTAATTTGGAAATAAATTCAATTGAAGGCAATGGAGCTTGCTTCTGAGCAGGCTTGGATTGCATTATATGTAGTATTTTATGTATATGCTTACATAGATTTACTGAATGAGATCTAGCTGGTCAAAAATTAGGAAGGTGTTAGGAAAAAGGTCAATCGTGAGCCAGTTTGAATGGAGTTGCATTCAAGTGACTGAATAATAGTGCAGACTAGAGCTGGGTCTTGGGACTAAATCTGGGGCCCCAAATAACCACCCAGAGAACAGCAGATGAGGAGGACAGTGGCAAACAGGTCCAGTACTGTACCTGGCCTGCTTCTGGTTGCTACAGCATGTTTTCTTATTATATTGTAAAATGTTTTATAATCAAGAGATAACCGACTAAACTTGTACATGGTTGCACATGGTTATTTATTGTTACTAGATAAACATGTTATCCTTTTCCATAACCAAATGATTCTTATTCCCAAGTAGAAGCGTTTACAATTGGGGTGGCAGAAGCAAGCCACATTTTATTTCTGTAGTCATGGTGGTGCCATGATTTGGCTTTAAACTGTGGAACATGCACAGAGCATTTCCTTTTCATCAGGGTTGGCAAACTTGTTTGGATTTTGCTTAACATAACACTGATGTAACACATATGGCCACCCCTCTTTAGACCATTAAGTTCAGGGCCTAAAACTGCTGAACTGCTCCACTTTGAAGGAGATCTGAAGCTGCTTTGGTAAAACCCATTCCTTTGGCCTACTGAAACCTACTGTAATGGCTAGGAGTGTAAACTGGGAAGTCTTATATTCAAATGTCACCTCAGCCCTCGCCTCACTAGACTGATACTCAGATGCTGTTGAGTCAGTAATTTAACTGTCAGCTTTAACATTCAGCAGAAATCAAGAGCATCAGATGGAAGACAATACACACAGAGTGAAAGGTTTTCTACATTTAACTTTGCAAGGGGAGGTGAGGTTGGAAGTACCTCCTTTAACCTTTCTCTCTTTTTCTTCTAGTTGTGCATCTAGTGACTGAAGAATATTCAGTTTCAGCTTCTGAATCTTTTGTTCTTCTGCTTCTTCCAGATTTCCCATCTGCATCTTCTGAGCCTTGCTAGGGATATAGCCTTCTACAGCGTACATGTTCCTTTTGTATCTAGATTTCCCAATGTAAGGGCTTTCACCCGGTACATCATCAAGTTCAACATCCTGAAATAGGACATAATAGTACAAATTCAGCCAGACTGGAGTGCCTTGGCAGTTTAGTGCAACTGGAGATATGCTCCTCTACCATCCTCACCATCAGTTTGGAGTTGAGGAGGGGAACAGAGTGTCAGTTCTGATTTTGTACTTTGATTCAGATGTGCAGCACAAGTTTGGGATCAAGTAGGCTCTCTAAAACTGAAAATACTATTTTCAAATAATTACCTCTATTGGATAATAACCTAATGGTTCAAACTTGGCATCAATCTTATAAAAAGCCAGTTCTTGCTCCAGCTCATATTGTTTCTGACAGGCTCGGGTTAATTCCACCGTCTTCTGCTTTAGCTAACAAACAAACAAAAAAGCAAACAAAAGGTTAACAAATTGTGTCTTATAACCAAATATATTTAAATGGAATGCCAGTGTCATGGGTCGCTATATGATCCATGCATGAATGACACAACACAAACATCTTTATATAGTAAAAATACAGGGTACACTAGTCAGACTTGCATAACAAAATGCATTTGCTTTAGATGTTGCATTTATACAGATAGTTAAACAACACACACACACACACACACACACACACACACACACCGGCCATGACAAAGCAAGCCAGTCCCAGCATGCACTTCGAGTCTTTTCAAATTGTCAGCTATGAAGTGGCTTGTCTGCTATGGAGAGGCTGGCAATAATTGTATGCAAGATTTGCTGCATCACAACAATTTACTATCTAATGCAAATCACGTTAAGGTATCTGCAAATGGTATGTCATGCACAATGCTGAAAATACATGTACACTCAAAATAAAAAAGAATTAACCAGTCATTCACTTTACTGTAGTATTCAAATATTGATAAATCTGATACTAAAATAAAAATAGGGCACCAAGTGGTCTAGCCTCATTATTTCCATTTTTCTGAACTGAATAGAATGAGGCACTTACTCTGTTAGCATTTCCCCCCCTCTTTTACTTTTAGAAGCTAGCAGAACACAACAAAAATAAAAATGCTGTCTTGGTCATATTTTTCCAGTTAATTTTTGCATGTAAGTTGTATTGGGACTACTGCCTTCTGCAGATATAATACTTGATGATGGTAAGCACAAACCATGGTTTGTAGCCTAAGCCTGGTTAACAGTCAAATGCAGCTCATCCTGCCCCAGAGTTCATGCATACTCCAGAGCCACCTGGGAGACCTTCTTACTATGAGTGATGGAGAAACTGCCTTAACTTTGACTTGATCAAGTGCAACTATAACACTTAACCACAGCTCACGCAAACCTTGGTTTCATATATTGATTTGTGCCTAACCATGAACTATGGAAAACAAACAATGCTTAAGAATCATAAATGCATTGGATCCACCTAAATCTGTATGTACCTTTACCTATAATCACAAACAGACTGATGGAAACATAAGCAGTCCCAATTTGAAACTATCCTATTATTTTCGTTTATCTGGAAGAGAAGTGGGTGCTCTCTCTCTTTTGACTGTTTTATTGTTGGATACCTGAAGGAGAGCATGCAGCAAGGTTCCAATAGGTAGCAGTAGGAAGAACTGAAGGGACGGGGAGAGAAAAGGGTAGAAACAGGAAAGATTGGAAGAAGGAAAAGAATTAGATTTCTAAATCAAAGTATCCAACACCATGCACAACTTCTAATTTAGAAAAATATTTGACACAGGGAAGTGTTTTTGGTGAACAAATAATGATAAAACAAGTACAGCTTTCACATTATTGAATAATTCGAAACAGAACCATGCAAAGAAGCACTATGGGTTGCAGCCAAAAAAAAAGCGTAGTCAAGCTTATACGTAGTCAAGCTTATACACACAGAGGCTACCTTTAGTGAAGAATAAAGGCTCAGTCAGCAATAAAGGAAATGGATCAAACAAACCAAGATACAGGCTAAATGAAAAGAGGAGCAAACTAAATCAGTCACCAGAAGGACAAGAGAAGACAGTGCTGAAAAATATACGTTACCAGATCAAGATACTAATAAGATTAAACTGTTTGTTCTGTTTATTCAATTGGATGTGGGTGTTATCTACTGAATACAATCCATTGAAAAAATCTAGCTCCCATTCATTTCAGTGGGATAATGACAGTGTGGTCATAAAGACACACACCTTACAAAGCCAGTTTTCATTAAGCCCAGTTCTGAAGAATCTTAATTAAAAGGGAAGACCTAACTCCCAGTAATTATTGCAGACATGACAAATAATGATTTAATAAAGAAACTCAAAGCTTAATTAGCCATTAAGGTTTTTAAATACAATCCTAATTTTCCATTTCTGCATACAAAATCCACCAAACCACCTGTGGATTTTACATCCAGAAATAAAAGTTGGGGCTCTGTTAAGAAGCACATTGAATGTTAGAAATAAACCATAGATACAATGGGATTTATGGCAACAACAGAACACATGGCTTAATGCCCAACCAGAAAACATTTAAATCCATCTATCTGAAGACAAAAAATGTGTACTAAGAAGGCTAGAAAACATTTAGCTTTCTAATAATTTTAAACATAACACATACAAATATAATGATAATATAATGATGGCTATTGTCAGATAAACCAAATAGAAAGCCAAATAATGAGATTATTCCCACGACTTGATATACAGTGGTACCTTGGGTTAGGTACTTAATTCGTTTCGGAGGTCCATTCTTAACCTGAAACTGTTCTTAACCTGAAGCACCACTTTAGCTAATGGGGCCTCCTGCTGCTGCTGCGCTGCCGGAGCACAATTTCTGTTCTCACCCTGAAGCAAAGTTCTTAACTGGGTTAGCGGAGTCTGTAACCTGAAGTGTATGTAACCCGAGGTACGACTGTACTGCTGTAGTCCTACTGGAGTCAATTGTACTACCACACTGTAAATGTTAACCTAGTGTCCTCTCATTCAATGCCATAAGAAATTTCTAGAGATATTCAACAGTCTACTGGGATTTTAAGAACCAAGGTTGCTTTACCAGCTCATTTTTTGTCTCTAGTTCACTCTCCAGGTCATGACAGCTTTGTTTCTGTTGCAGATTTTTTTGTTTTAATGATTTGTTAAGGTCATCTTGTTGCTGAAGTTGTTCGCCCAGGTCAGAGTGTTTGGTTTTAAGGTCTTCCAACTCTTTCACAGTTTTCTCCAAGTCCTTTTCTAGATTTTCTATCTCTTCTGCAGAATAAGGCAAATCAGCAAATCATATACACTCCTTTTGCTACATTTACTGATCACTGACAGAAAAGGAAACCAACGACACTAGTGGCTTTCCCCAAAGATGCATGTGGTTAAAGCGTGCAAATTACTTGATGGGCATAAAATCAACACCAAGTCTCACAGTTTAATAGACAGAAGGAAGAGGTCTTCCCATCCGATCTAATCTAGGTTCAGGTGAGAAGATACCTACCACCCTCACACTTGTTGTTTTAAAAAAGTCAGGGAAGCTGGAACTCCTCTGAAGCCCTGTCACCACACAGCAGACAGGTCAGAAAAGAGCAGTTGTCCTTCTAACTGCCAAGGACAAAGATTCCAAAGCTTATTTGCATAAGTTCTGCCTGTTGTAGGCTTTCTCAAACTCGGCCCTCCAGATGTTTTTGGCCTACAACTCCCATGATCCCTAGCTAGCAGGACCAGTGATCAGGGATGATGGGAATTGTAGTCTCAAAACATCTGGAGGGCTGAGTTTGAGGAAGCCTGGCCTATATGAATAAGTGGAAGAGCCAACCTATTTCTGAATGGTGTATGACTGTGGAATAACAACTGTCTCTTCTCAACATAGAGAACATTGGGGACTTATGAGGCAGGGCCACACGTGGTAGGGACGTTGGAGGCAGGATTTGTGTTCAGATCCACCCTTTCATTTAAAGATTCAGATTCACATGCTCAAGTGAATGCCTGAACATGCCTTGTGCTTTTCGTAGATGTGATACTCCCAAAGTAAAATTATATCTACTGCCTATATATTTTGAATCTTAGGTCACTTTACAAACTACCCATGTGTGCTGCCAAGAAGACAATAAAAAGAGTCACATCCAATCATGGCTTCCCAAGTAATTGTTGTTACTCATGTTTATTATGGCTTTCTCACTTTCCTTTTTTTGGCAAGATTTAAAACATTTTTACTGTACTTATAATAGGTAAAGTTAAAGGGACCCCTGACTGTTAGGTCCAGTCATGGACGACTCTGGGGTTGCGGTGCTCATCTCACTTTACTGGCCGAGGGAGCTGGTATTCAGCTTCCGGGTCATGTGGCCAGCATGACTAAGCCGCTTCTGGCAAACCATACAATACAGTTTAAAAAATAAACTAAAGAAAATGAACATGCAGAGTCCTCTCTCACAGGTAGCTCTTAATTCCTGTCTCACACAGAAAGTGGTGGACCCTCCCAGCTGAGAGCTTTCCTTTATTCTTCCAGCCCCTCATCATGTAAGATCATGTAAGATCTCAACAGGAATTACTTCTGAGTAGACATGTATTAGCTAGAACTGTTGTTTTATAATCCTATGATTATCATATTTACCTAAATTAAACCTCTCAAGAGCTTCTTCTCTGTCATGGTTTGTCACTGGCTGTCCCTCAAGATCTTCCAGTGACCTCAAATGGAATATGGTATACAGACGATAATGAGGAAGGTTTACAATAGGATTGTCTGCCAGAAACAGAGAAGTCAAGTCTTTAAGAGACTTCAGTTTAGTTATCTCATGGAGCTGAAAGAAAGGAGGGGAGGTACAAGAATTAGATATTCTTTGAAACATGAAACATATTCCATTTTCTGCTTATAGACACATAATCTAACATAAAATATTAAGTCAATTATTTAAAACTGAACCCAGACCAGTGAAATCATACTGTGTCAGTGATAACAAGTGTTACACAAAGGCAAAAAAACACCAGAGCTCCTGAGTCAAAATGTTAGGAGATTTCATTTGAGTGCTGAAACATGTGTTCCCAACAAGGGCGTATCTTTCCATGAAGAGATATGCCCCCCCCCATCAGAACTGTTTCTCTAGTTTTCATCCAAGTCCTAAACACAAGTATTGTTCAGAGTGTTGTACAAAATGCCTCCAAGGGCTGTTTCTAATGGTGCAAGAAACTTTGTGAAGGTCTTAAGCTTAAACAATTCAATGAAGCACATCCAAAAATTAAAGCAAAACTGAATAGTTTTGACTTAGCCCTAGTTAAAATGGAGAAAATATATCAGGTGTGGGGAACCTCTGACCCTCCAGATTTTGCTGAATGCAACTCCCATCATCCCTACCCACTGGCCATGCTTGCTGGGGCTGATGGTCAAAGGATCCCAACATCTGTGATACGTGGACCTGAATGAAGACAAAAGGCCTCAGTTCAATAGGTTAAAAAAAACCTTCAGGAATCCTTTAGCATATTGTGTCTGCTGGGGCATTCTAAGGTGACTGTCATGGAATCTCAGTGCTCCACGTAGCACTCTATGATAAATTCTAGGACAGTCACTAAGCTCATACAGGGCACTGATGTATACAACCTTATTGTTGCTCCACTTGGATGGAGAACACACCCACTCTCCTCCAGCTGCGCATTGCTGGAGAGAGTGCCACTGGAGAGCCATGTGCCTATCAGGGGCACTCAGCCAGAATTACTAATCTTCTCACTGAAGAACTCCTGAAAAGCTCCAAAGGCCTTCTGGAAAATAGTTTTGCAAGCTACTGCCTTAGCATATGTCAACATATAATTCTAATCATCATACAGTTGGAATCTCTGGGGGGAAATCCTCACACTGACACTTGAAGTCTCTTGGCTTTATGGAAAAACTGCTGGAACTATATGATTGTCTCTCATTTTCTAGTCCTCTTTACATTTCATCACATGAGAAATGTACCCTACTTCATCTTATCTTCCTTTAAAATTATGTATTTCTGTGATTTGTCACCAGATGAAAGCATTCACAGGTGCTTGGAAGGCTCATTCTTTAAAAGTAAAGAAATAATAATTAAATCTAGCTAACTGGTACACATGGTTATTATCGATCTTCTACAGAGACAGCGATTTTCAAATGTCTATAAGTGCTATCTTAAGGAAAAGGCTTAAAGAAAGAAGTAAGCAGACAACAACTAAAATCCAAAAACAAGGAGTGTTCTGCAAGCATCGCTCTAAGTTGAAATCACTTACTGATGATATTTTGTTTTTTCTCAAATTCAGGATGCGCAAGGACCTGAGTTTCTTCCCTACCCATGCTGGGATGTGCTCAATCTCATTCCCAGCAAGGTTCAGCTTCTGTAAATTCTGTAGATGTTCAATACCTTCTATTTTACTGGTGAACAGAGAGAAATATTGAAGTTACATATTACAAGATGAACAACATCTGTATACCTTTAAGTTTCTCCTAGGACACAGGGAACATTTTCAAACCATGATTTCTAAAACCAGGAACAACTCTCATACGTGCTCACATCTGGCTTCATAGTTTTTTAAAAGGCTTAGCCACAAACATGGAGACCTGTTGAATATTCTACTATTTCTTCCTAAACCTTTGGGTTTGGAGTCATGGAATCCTAGTGCTCTGCATCTGTAAAGTATGTTTTGTTTAGTCTACAAGCAGAAAATGAGACTCCAAGCCAAAAAGCTTTGAGGAATTAAATTTACAGCAAGCACAAGAAAGAATAAGATGCAATTACAATAGATGTTTGATAAATGATTATTTCATGTAAATTGAGTTCCTCCAAAACTATATGCAGCTTTTCGGCTTGATACCTGGTTTGGTGTTTGCATAACTGTTTTCATTTTGCCATTTTAAAACAAATATAGAATAAAACATATATTTAGGGAGGACAAAAGATAGCTATCAAGATACTATGCCAGTAAATAAAATTTCTGAAATCAGAAAACTGTTGCAATATTGTTGGGGATTTTCAGGAATGTTAAGCAAAACTTCATTAAAATATTATTGTAAATACTATTGACTGTTTGGAAAGGTTCTATTTTATGCTCCAAAAACTATACCATTCTAATCAGCATATGGTAGGAGGGAAATTGCTTGTGCCCTTCTCTGCTTTCGTTTGAAAAGGTTTATCATGCCTGCGTTGTTATGCCTTGGTGTTGTTGTTTTTTTTTAAAAAAACTCACACAACTCATTGCTCTAATCCACATTTCATCATAGAAAAGCTGTTTCACCAAGTGAGGAAGTTACATCAAATGTAGTGTGTAGAAATCAATGGGCAGCCTGATCCAAAAAGATAGTTAAATGGTAGCATTCAGGTTTAGGCAACTTAACTTCACAGAGCTAACTGTGCAATCCTAGACATATCTATTCTGAAGTGTTGCAGCCTGACAGTGAAAACCGGTGTCATCCAAAGTCCTATCATATTCCATGGTGCTTACACCTAGGGTAAATGGGGTTAGGATTGCAGCCTGTCATTTTAAATACAGACACTTGGTAATGCCTGATCTGCAAATCTATGTTCTCGCTCTGACAAACAAACAAACAAACAAACAATTTATTATTTTTACCCTGCCCATCTGGCTGGGTATTTCAATAGCAGTGGCATGCAGCAAAATTTTCTGTAGGGAAACAGTAAGGCCAGAGGTGCCAGCTTGAGAGAGTAATTGTGGGGAGGACATCATGTATGTGAGCACTGCGCCTCCCTCCCTAAGCCAAGCAGAAGATTCCCAGGTTTTGGGAAGGTAACAGAAGAGATCCTGGACCCGTCGGAGCATTGTGCCTCCTTAAGAAGTTTCCCAGACTTTGGGAAGGAGGCACCGGGGAAACATTTAGGGGACTAGCCTAGTCCCCCTAGTCTACTGACCACTAAAGGAGCCAATTCCTAGGGGCCATGGGGACTTTGGACCCCACAATAACACATTGGAAGCTACGCTTTGGTTTTTGAATGTTTGGAACTCGAATGGACTTCTAGAATGGATTCTGTTCGACTTCCAAGGTATAACTTACATATCCAGAGTGAGCAGGAACACAACCAATGTGGTATAGAAAGACAGACCACAGCTCAGTCGTAAAGCTGCAGAAAGTCCTAGATTCAATCCCTAACATCTTTAGGTAGGGCTAGGAGAATCCTTCCTGAATTCCAGGAGAATGCTGCCAGACAACGTAGACAATGGATTCACTCAGCATAAAACAGCTTCCCATGTTCTACCTCTACAATCATGAAGGATTTTAATACCTTGATGCAACTTCTGCATCAAATTATGAAAGCTGCTTTGCTAAAAAAGTACCAGCACCAAAACAAAAGCACTAGAGCTACAAACTCCTACAGCCTGTGTTTTTTTTAGTTCTCTCTTTGGTGGAAGCTGTTCCTGTTTCATGGTTCACAATCCCAATGTAGCAACATTTTGCAACAATGAATCTTCTAATGCACCATACTAAGAAAACAGTATTTTGCTATAATCTTGCTTACCATATTTTGTTGAATGATAGATTGAGGTCACGTAGCTTTAAAAGTTTGTCTAGTTTTTCAATCTTCTCAATCAGATTGTTACTGAGATTGAGGACCTCTAGTTTACCACACTTCTCGAGATTTTCTAGGTACTGAAAATATACACAAGATATAAAACTACTAGAATAGTGTTGACAGTGAGATAAAACAGTAGCCTTCTATTTTTCAGAGCCATGCTGACAAACAATAAATCATGCTATCAACTGAGATTAATAGTCGAGTGTAATTGTACCAACTGATTTTGAAATTTTTTTTAAGTTTCACCCAAGAGGCATTTAAAAATTTATTTTGAGCATCTTAAATATTTCGAGGCAGCTTCTCAAGTGGCCAAATTCAGAGATGTAAAACAGTTGTAAAAAAACCAGCTTTATCTCAGTCTGATACTGAGAAAGAAATTGCAAAGAAAGACATCATTACTAGGTTTTCTGCTTACCTTTGGGCATAGCCAGGATTTATTTTAGGGTGGCAGACTTTATGTTGGGGGGCACAGAACCAAGTTATTTGTGATGCAATTGGTTAGTTAAATATTTTTATTTACTTATTTGAATTGGGGCAGGGGCACCTTCCCTCCCCTACAAACCTTTGGCTACACCCATGTGGTTACCCATCATTTTAAGCAAATGAACTCAACTGAATTAAACTTATTTTAAGCTGTGCCTAATTCTCTTCAACAGGACAACACGTTTTATTTTTTCCTCCAATTGTCTTATTCACACTTCCTGGTAAACTATGGTCAATGGTTTGCTGTGAATGTGCTGATCTTGGCCAATTTTTGCTCTTTCCAACTCATGCTAGAAGGAAACAAATTGCTGGTGTAGCTTTTCATTCAAATCAGGGATGATGCTTTGTTACACTACCCCCAAAATCAGGAACTGGAGCCATGGTTTGTTCTTGGTTTACTGACTGGGGTCCTTTAATCAGTGACATAATGCTAAGCCACGGGTTTATTTTGTTTTCTCCATGAGCTAGTGGGAAACAATATTCAGGGTAAACCATTAACTATGGTTTACTGCAGAGATAGCCAACATGGTACCTCCTCTAGATGTTATTGGGCTCCAGTTCCCATTATCCCTTACCATTGACTATGCTGGCTGAGGCTGATGGGAGTTTTAGTCCAACATATATAGGGCATACTAGCAACTCCTGGTCTACAATGACATGTGAAATATGCTATTGTATTTAGTTTGTTAAAATGGTGTCAGGACTTATTTGGGGAGCCTCCTGCCCTCTCAGAATGGGATCCAGCCAAGTGAACTAACTAGGAGTCTTTTTGTTTACACTACTCTCTTCAGGCACAGAAGGAAATAAAGGTGTAGAACATCAGCCTCTGTGATTTGCAATTTGTATGAATGCTCTGCATTGACTACTCGATATAAATTCTGGAGAGCCTGGTTTTCCACCCTTGCTTGGGCTGTAGAAAGGTTATTGCTTTCTACAGCAATAAAGCATCTAAGCTAGGGAATTCACTTCTTCTGGTCTGGATAATTTGCCTTGATAAATAGCCCCAGAAGCAAGTCATTGGAAAAGGGAGTACCAGCAATATATAGTATAAAAAATTTGACTGTATACTTTTTAAAAGGCATCATATAAAGTCAAGGACTCTATGGGTAGTTTTTGTAGGCAAATTGGAATGTGCAGTGGTAGCTCTATAGGCAGCAATGTTTTTGTTCTAGGTGAATAGACACGTGTGACATTTGCCTGAGTCCCATCAGGGCAAAAGGTGAGAAGAAAAATAATAATAATAATCATTATACCTTAAACTTCTTTCCCCCATCTTTGGCAAGGGAAAGATTTAGAGTAGTTACGCGTGCCAGATTTTCCTGTTTGGACAGCTTCTTGATAAGAGTCTCAGTTATGTATCTGATACCTGGACTGATACAGTTGTCATCTGAAATGAACAATAAGGTGTTGCTGTGTGTGACAATACAATAATAGAAAGAAAAGCATTCAACTGAAAGTTTTGTCATAAAGGACAAAATATCTGATTGCATTAAAAAGTGCTTTTAGCATGTTCATAAAATACGTAGTATGACAAAGCAAACCTATTAGTGAGTTGTTTCTATCACTGAGCTAATAACTTTGGGTACTGACACTTCCATCATGAACCTCATAATGGTCTATGTTTATTGACAATCAAACTTGTCATTTGTCCCCTTTGCTTTCCATTATCGTGTCTCTTTACAATAGGAGTGCCTAACATGTAGCCCTCCAGATATTATTAGACTCCAATTCCTACTAGCCCCAGCTAGTATGGTCAAAAGTCAGGGGTGATAGTAACTGCAGGGCAAAACATCTGGAGGGCCACAGGTTCTCCGTCCCTGTTTTAAAAGTTCAGCAATTGTCTTTTCAAAGAAGGGTATTATCTTTCAATAATTCTTTTTCTATTTTTTATGGTTCCTTCCATTTCCCCTCACTTCTTCTCCTGAACTCTCTTCCTGAACATCTCTCCTTTAAAGGCTTTCTTAAAAATTACTTTTTCATGAAACCCTTTGGCCTAATGCTTAGATTTCACTCCCAACTGAAACCAAGCAGGCATACCCTGACAGAACACCCAGATCCTATGTTCCAAAGCTGCCAGTCTTTGTCTTTGGCTTAGAATGCCCCCTTTCAGAGCTTTCTGTGAATTATTGCTAGTGGAAAAGCTGCTGCCTGCAGCTTACCACCCACATGGGTGCCGCTAGGTTCTCCACCATGGCAAGTCCAACTACCCAGCATTGCTCCTCTCTATAACCAAAGGCTGGTTGGGAGGAATCTACGCACTATGCTAACTCCTCCACCATCCATTAATGTGGAGAGTAGGGACAGAGTTCCAAATAATACAGCAAGATAAAAGAAACTAATCTAACAAAAACAAAAATAGAGAAAGTCCTCTCTCAAAGGTAGCTCTTAACTCTTGTCTCACACCTCTTTCCTTTCTTCTCCCAGTCTCTCACTCAGGGTCCTTCCACCAACCATGTTCTTCTCAGTGTGCCCTGCCTGGTGCTGACTTCAACAACTTTTTGCTGCCACATTAAAACATGCCATAGTTTTGGGCAAGGTGCGCTGGGACAACTGAAAAGCTCCTCTCCTGTGTCACCAACCTCTGACCTTCTTTTGGATGGGGCATATGGAGAAGGACCTCCAGTTCTGAACAAAAGAACTCTCCAGTGGGCCCTCTGGCACCTCTAAACACACTCAGCTGCACCTGCCTGAGAATGTGTTGTGCTCTTATTAGCTACAAAATGCTCTAAATAGATATTAGTTTCTGGAATGCTCTTCTTAGGGAGCATCACCTGGTACCTTCTGTTGATGTCATTTTCATGCCAGGTGAAACAAGGCATTGTGTTATTTCCTGTCTTTAACTCTTTTTTTCCTGTGTTATTATATGAAATTTTATCTTGGTATTACTGTTTTTATTTTTATAATTTGTTGAGGTGCCCTGGAAATACCGTGCTCTATAGTGGAATACATAGTTATCAAACAATCAAGCAAATAAAAGCTAGTTCAAAAGCCATATTCTATTGTTCCCCCACCAAAATAAAATAAAATCCGGGCGTATGTCTAGATCTAAATGTCAAAAATATATAGTTTAAAATGCTATTAACTACTATACCTTGTCCAACTGAAGATTCAGAGGGAATTCCTGTATCACTTTCTTCAGGTGCATTTCCTTGACGCCTTTTCCCCTTTGTCAGATAAGTAGCTGGAATACCTCGTCTGCTCAACGGAGATGGTGACCTGCTGCTTGAACTCACAGTAGACATTGGACTCCGAGTTCGAGATGAAGACATCAATCTCTTTCTAAGTGGTGCTCTTTGTGGCTGGCCTTTCCTTATTGCACAGAATGCTGCATAGTATTAGGTGAAAAGCTACAAGCAGACAAACACAAGATCCTCTTTAAATCATTTCCAAGGCCATAAAAATATTCATGTAGCTGCTCGAATGTAATCTACAGATCTTAATTATTGGTTATGTTAAATGAACATTAAAGAAACTTTCTTTCAGAGCTTTTACAACTCTCATTCTTCATTCTTATTTTTAACTGTTCTTTCAAAAAGTGAAACTCAAAGTGACTTACAAAATGAACTTTAAAAACAAGGATAAACAACCAAAAAATTATAAGCCACTAGTGCACACGTCCCTCAGTGCAATTTGCCTAGACAGCCAGAGCTAACTCAAATTTCATGCCTTCTATCTTTGCTTACTTACCACGTCCTCAGTTTGCTTTCAGGAAGCTGTGGTTTCCACCCCACCCCACTAGTGCAGAAACACTTTAGCTTATATGAACAGTTTCTGTTAGAGTTGTAGGATAAGAAAACCAACCAAAGAAGCAAACTACCTTAGAGATTCCTCCACCTACAATTACTTTCTTGAGGAAGAGTATTGTCAGTTGCCTGCCTATTACAGTTATAAACATGAATGGCAAACATCAGGCCTGTTTTCTCCTTAACTGTTTCAGCAAAATGGGAGGCAAACAGATGACAAATGTTAAACACACACACACACCAGAGAACAAACAACTAAAACTGAGACTTGTAGGGTGGAAGTCTACACCAAAGAGTGCTTTGTGCCCAGCATGTGTGTCCCTCTGTGTGTATTATATGTAATACCCTGTGTTACATAACACATTGCCTTCCCAAGAATACCTAAAGGCAGTTCAAACTGCTTCTGTTGCTAAAGCACATCTACTATCTGCCATCTCATTTGGACAGTAACAAAAAGCAGATCACAACATTAATTTTAGTTCACTTGATATACAAGGCATGCGTCTTTTGATGACTCATGGTCTCTGCTGTAGGCTCTTCTCTTGTTGAACACAAAGCAACCAGTCATATTGCCCAAAGCTAACTTAAAACTAAGGGCACTGTTTATTAAACTGCTACTCTAAGGTACTTCTCCCTAACATTCTCTGCTGCTATGAGTCTGCAGAAGGAAAGGAAAGTACACTTTAACCTCTGCCACCAGTCAGGGATCCAATGGCCAGGGAAGACTGTACCTCTTGTCTCCTAGGAAGCAGGTAAGGCAAAAGGTAAATGACCTGTGGATGGTTAGGTTCAGTCAAAGGAGACTATGGAGTGTGGCACTCATCTCACTTCAGACCAAGGGAGCCAGTGTTTGTCCACAGACTGCTTTCTGGGTCATGTGGCCAGCATGACTAAACCACTTCTGGCACAACAGAACACCATGATGGAAGCCAGAGTACACAGAAATGCTGTTTCCCTTCCCACAGCAGAGGTACCTATTTATCTACTTGCACTGGTATGCTTTCGAACTGCTAGGTTGGCAGAAGCTGGGACAGAGCAACAGGAGCTCACCCAGTCGTGCAGATTTGAACTACCAACCTTCTGATCAGCAAGCCCAAGATGCTCAGTGGTTTAGACAAAAGCGTCACCCGTGTCCCCTTTCCTAGGAAGCACATCATGGCAAAAGAGAAATGAACGTGGCCCAATTCATTGGCTGCAGAAGGAGAAGCAGCACAGAGCTTGCTTCTGTCCTCTCTGGCAGAAATAACACTCAGCTCCAACTGCCAGTTGCCCAGAGTGTGTACAGCCAATTGGTCTCTGCCAAAGGCTTCTCATTTGTGTGAATGTAAAGGCAGGGAGGCTCAGTTTTCCAGATCAAATACAGCAGGGACATCCAACTCCATAGATCGACCAGGAACACCCCAGGATCAACCAGTAGATCACTATTGACCTGTTGGACATGCCTGAAATATAGTATTAATGCTGAGAGAACAAGAACATCAAGAACTGATGCCTAAATTTGCTTCTTTCCTTTCCCCTACCCATTCTTTTTCATACATGTCTATTAGATTGTGAGTCTGCAGGCAAGGACTGAATTATCTTTTAATCTCTCTGCAACACTTGGAAACAATGGGTTCTTTATAAGGTAAGAATAACACATTTATTATTTTAACTAGCTTCTTAAACACTTGTATAACTAACAAAACTAACATTGTGAGGCTGAGATGAAAAAGAAAATTCAAAAAAGAGTAATTTTTTTGGGTTGTAGCCAATGCTAATCCCACTCAGTGTAGAACTATTGAAAATAATGGACAAAAGTAACTTAGATGCATGAATTTCAGTGGGTTTACTCTGAGTAGCAGTGATATTTTTCTAGAAAAAGAGATGCTGGAACTTACAATGAACACCTCCCTTGTTCTCTTAGAATGGCAAGGGTGCTCACCTGAGAGGTGCAAGAACTGTGTTCTGGCAACTTCTGGCTGAAAAAAAAGCCCAGCTGAGTAGAGCTCGGTTGACAAAAACCCTTTTGTCATACATGCTCTAATTTATTTCACCTAGATTTTAATACTCATAATCCTACATACCCTGCAAACAGCTTCATTGATTTGTTTAATCAGCCCACCTATTATCTTTCTTACATCTTCACTTTTTCTTTCCTAGCTATTTAACATTGTGGTTGGTGGTTAATTACTCCAGACTCATTTGATACTGCTATTTATCCTTGTTTACTGAAAGCATCATTAAAAGGCACATCGCTCAGAGTAGCTTATTTTTCTAAGAGCTGTCTTTTTGATGGTGCTTTATAAAACAAGCCAATGTAAGTTCAGACAGAACTTTGTTTTCATATCCATATATTGGACAACAATCACCATATTGTACATCACAATCCCACACACACACACTCCTAGAAGTAGATTGTCTCCAAAATATAGAAGACATGAAATGCTCAAAGCAGAGAGGTTGAAGAAGCTGAGAAGCATTAACAGCCCCTCCCAACAATGTGGCACTTGGAAGAAGGGCAGATTATTTATTACATCTTTATCCCAATCATTCTTCAAGAAGCATTGAGCCAGATGTGATACAAAGGCATTTCCTAGAGGAAGCGTTTTTTGGGAGTGTGGGTAGGATTCAGAGTGGCCCAAAGCTTATTTGGAGCTGCACACCTCCAGTTCTTTATTCATTTATTAGCATGGGGTGCTATGTTTAACAGCATCTTGTATCAAAACATTGTTGGACTGGACATTATGTTATTGTGCTTCATACAGGGCAGTTTCCCTCTTGCAGTGCATGTTTTCACTTATTCTGGGGTGGGAAATCCCCAGTTTTTCATTCATGTGTGGCATGAATGAAATATTAAATATTAAAATCCTTTGTGCAAAAACAACACTTTTAAACAGAGAAAATGCTGTTGCTTCTGGTCATGGTGATGTATGAAATAGGGTAGCCCTGTGATTATATTGGTGTGCAGAACAAGTACCTTATTGAGGCAGCTTATTTACTATCCTTAAAAAGAACTGCTTCTTTTAATCATGCTGCTCTATTTAATTTTTTTACATAAGAAATTGGGAACTAGACACCAGCCTCAAGCTCTTAGCACACTGTCAGTTCACCAATGAAACATCTGTCATGAAAGGCTTGCAATCCTATACTCGCATATTGGCAATAAATTCCTTACACTCCGTGGTTCTTACTCCTGAATAGACATGCAATAGATTGCATTGTAGATTCTTAACTGTGCTATACTATACTCAGGTAAACCTGACTCTGTTCAGTGGGAGCTTTAGTTCATTCTCTCCTGTGGGTGGGGCTACTCATCTTTTCTGGATTACCAAGAAGGATGGGTAGAAAATAGGGCTGCTGTTGCTTGAATTTGTTGCTTTAATTTGCTACATTAGTGTGCATTATTATTGCATTTCATTTATGAATAGCTTCCCATGAAACACCCTGAAGAAAGTAACAATAAAAACACCAATAATAAATCAACAGTAAAAACAATTTCAAATCCAAGACAGACACAGACTGGGATAAAAATCTCTACTTTAAAGGATTGTTGAAAAAGGAAGGTCATAATATTTATTATTATTATTATTTATCATCATCATAATTATTTATTTATTTATTTATTAAGCAGGACATAGAAACAGTGGTATAGGATAATCATATTTAAATTGCACTGATATGCAATGAAATTATTATGATTATTTTTTAAAAAGCACACTGACATCATGTAATGTGATTATTTTTTATTATGAACATTATTTTTAAATTGCGCTTCTCTATTTCTTACTTGGCTCCTGAACACCTTGGTACTCGGACATTTTGGCTCCCGAATGCTGCAAATCTGTGAGTGTTCCAGTTTGCAAACATTCTTTGGAACCCAAATGTCTGACAGGGCTTCCGTCGCTTCAGATTGGCTGCAGGAGCTTCCTGCAGCCTATTGGAAGCCGCACTTTGGTTTCTGAACGTTTTGAAGTTCCGTTTGACTTCCAAGGTACAACTGTATTCTGTTTGCAACCCCAGAAGAATGAACTTATGTGGAACATGTAGTGTGCTTTATTTTACAGGATTTGGTTGTATTCAGCTAAGTTCTACACTGAGGACACCCACTGAAAATAACAGATCTAAGTAAATTATGCTCATTATTTTCAGTAGGTCTATTTTCTCAGTAGGAACTATTATTATTGATTAATAAATCAATAAATCACCATCTTAAGGCAATTTACAGATAAAACAATTAAAACCAGGTACATTTAAAACAAAAACAAAACCTTAACAAATGAACACTCGTGGTAATACTTGTCATCGCATATGTGACAAGTGCACACAACCGGAGCTTCTTTCTGTTTAAAAAGGAAAGGCCAGAGCTTATTTCGTTCCTTTTCTTCCTCTGGCCCCACCCCCCTGAAACTACTCTACCATTCACCCTGTTAAAACATAAATTTATGCTGCAAGTGTGTGGGATAGAAATTATTTATTTATTTATCAAAGTTGCCCGGTGTTTATTATTGATAAATTAATTAATTAATTAATTGAGGAGCACAGGGCGATTTACAGTATAATGATCCTGCCCACGGCAACCCTAAACCACTTACAACCAGGCCCCCTTAGAAAGCCCCCTTAGATACAGTAAAACCATGAGGAAAGAGAAACACATTTTTTTTAAAAAAAAATCCATCCACTTACTTCGAAAAGTCAACAGAAAGCCAAATAATCAAATATCTAGAAAGAGAGAGAGAGAAAATAAACTAATCCTTCCTCCTTCCCTTAACCTGTGTTGGGGCCCTGAGGTCCGACACCCCAAACACCTCCCCAAAGAGAGTAAGGGCGTCCCGACTCCTCCTTCCCCCTTGGATGCGCTGAAGGGACGAAGCCACTCAACGGCAGCCGCCCAACGGCCAATTCCCGCCTGCGTTCCCTGAGGGCGCCGCTTTGATTACTCCCGTCGCCATGGCAACCCCTCAGGGCGCGGGCCGAGCCTCACCGTCACGGCTGACATCGAGGGCTTGCGGGGGAGCCGCTGCCGGGCTCGCTCGTGGCCCGGCTCGCTTTTATTTATATGTCTTCTCGACCGTCTTCCCCTTTCCTTCTTCCCTCCAGTTTTGAGACTTGGTGAAAATTAAACAGGAAGGCGGCGGCTCAGCGCTCGCCGGTGAGGATTTGCCTCACGCTGACAAGCGGAACCTTTTAACAGCCCGGCGACGCCATCTTTGATGGCTTGAAAAGGAGAGAGAGGGTTGGAGCGCGGGGGCGGGGCTTCCCGCAATGACCACGCCCCCGCCCCGCCCTCCTCGCGGTCTCTTTTTAACTGTTCTTCGTCCAGATTTAGGTCGTTGGGCGCTTTCCCGCCTTTTATTGTCAATGTCCCCGCCTACTGTTTTCACGTCTCTTACTATGGCTCTTACAACTAACTAGCCCCATCTAGAGGCGAGTCCTATTGAATTAAATGGGACTTAAAGTTAAATGAGCCTAAGGTTATAGCCTCAGGCTGCAATGTTGGATCCACTTACTTTGGAGTAAGCCCCATTTGACTCAGTGGGAGGCTTGTGTATAGGCTGGTACTGTTGTTTTGTTTATTTGTATTTATTTCAACACATGTATAAAAGGGCTTTCAGGGCGAAGCCTCCGAAGGCAACTTGCAAAATGCAGACCCTCTTTTTGGGAAAAGTGTTGTACAGAACATGTTCTCTCTCACTCTTTCTCGATATTTGTTTATATATAACACATAAACACCACATCTTTTTACCTGACAGAGACTCAAGGCAGAGTACACATTAAAATAAGAACCACTAAAAATATAGAAAATAAAAATAATTTTATTATTTATACCCTGCCCATCTGGCTGGATTTCCCTCGCCACTCTGGGCTGCTTACATCAGACATTAAAAAATTGGGGGAAACCCCGACATTTTAAAATTTCCGAATACAGGGCTGCCATGTCTTAGGCTGCTTTTTTAAAGAGTTCAAAGTAACTTAAATAATCAGTGATGTAGGATGAAGGTTTTCCATAATAGAAAATTTTTCATTTCCAGAAATGCATTGTTTCATAAAATTAGTAGTTTTAACAAATGAACACATTGCCTGTTGAGTTGGGCAGGTATTTCAAAACGATTGTAAAAAAATAATAATAAACAGTTATAGAAATAAACTATATGCATGAATAACAACTATTAAAACAATGAAAATAATGACAATAAAAAAGTAGTGCACGCAGTCCTTTCATCAAAAGCAGTCAGTTCCCAAAAGCCTCTTGGAACAGGAAAATATTCAGTTGCCAGCAGAATGACAACAAGGAAGGAGCCAATCCAACTTTTCTAGGAAGGGTGTTCTAAAGTCTGGGAGCAACCACCAAGAAGGCCCTTGCCCTCCCAAGCATGCCTGTGAGGGTGCTGGGACTGGGAGAAGGGCCTCCTTGAAGATCTCAAAACCTTGGCAGGTTCATATTGTGGGATAGCCAGCCTTGTATAACCAACATGCAAAAGTCTAATTAATACACGAAGGGGTTAATACCATAGAGTAAGCTTTTTTACCTCGGGTTACATACGCTTCAGGTTACAGATGCTTCAGGTTACAGACTCCGCTAACCCAGAAATAGTACCTCGGGTTAAGAACTTTGCTTCAGGATGAGAACAGAAATTGTGCAGCAGCAGCACGGCGGCAGCGGGAGGTCCCATTAGCTAAAGTGGAGCTTCAGGTTAAGAACAGTTTCAGGTTAAGAACGGACCTCCAGAACGAATTAAGTTCTTAACCCGAGGTACCACTATATTAATCTCAGTTGATAGCATGATTTATTGTTTCTGTCAGCATGGCTCTGAAAAATAGAAGGCTACTGTTTTATCTCACTGTAAACACTAGTCTAGTAGTTTTATATCTTGTGTATATTTTCAGTACCTAGAAAATCTCGAAAAATGTGGTAAACATTCATCTTTTTTTGCAGTCTCATCACTCTGCAATCTCATGTTCAGCTTGTGATGAACTATAAATACTCATTCTGAAGGAAGGGGTGGTGCCTAAGGGTCTAATTTATAGTGAAAGGCTAAAGGATGGGCAAGAGAGGAGATGTTGGAAATTCTAAAATGTCCTGAAATTTCAGTACACTACTACATTTCCTTTAAAGCCAGTAAGAACATCCCATAAAAATATAAAAAAACCATAGCTATGCCGAACAAAGGCAGAACCATGCTACCCTTCAAATTATGAGCCAAAGTTAAGGGCCATGGGAAAATAAAAGTATTTACCTGGTGCCAAAAGACGGATTAAGATGGCACCAAGTGTGCCTCAGTGGAAAGGGCCCACCACTGAAAAGGCCAGATCTTGTGCTTTCACCCTCTGAACTTCCTATGGGGCAGATGAAGAAGGGCCTCAGATGGATGACTGCAGGGTTCAGGTTGGCTCATGTGGGGAGAGGTGGTCCATGAAGTACAAGGACTGCTTTAATCAAAATTTCAGTAAACATATCAAGTTCCCTATTTTTTAATCTATGCATTAATGATCAGCAACACAAATTCATTGCTGTAACAATTAATTAGGTTCTGAGATAATACTGATTTGAAAGTAAGCATCTTAAAAAGCAGGGACATCACCTTGCCAACAAAGGTCCGTATAGTTAAAGCCATGGTTTTCCCAGTAGTGATGTATGGAAGTGAGAGCTGGACCATAAAGAAGGCTGATCGCTGAAGAATTGATGCTTTTGAATTATGGTGCTGGAGGAGACTCTTGAGAGTCCCATGGACTGCAAGAAGATCAAACACATCCATTCTGAAGGAAATCAGCCCTGAGTGCTCACTGGAAGGACAGATCCTGAAGCTGAGGCTCCAATATTTGGCCACAACATGAGAAGAGAAGACTCCCTGGAAAAGACCCTGATGTTGGGAAAGATGGAGGGCACAAGGAGAAGGGGACGACAGAGGACGAGATGGTTGGACAGTGTTCTCGAAGCTACCAGCATGAGTCTGACCAAACTACGGGAGGCAGTGGAAGACAGGAGTGCCTGGCGTGCTCTGGTCCATGGGGTCACAAAGAGTCGGACACGACTAAACGACTAAACAATATATAGTTATTATTTATTACTCACAAGGGTGCATACATCAGGCTACTCCATCTAGGCACTGAGCAGGCTGAGACCTTCAGCAATGTGGTTGCCACATGAAGGCCTTTTATAATATTTTAACTAAGATTTATATATTGTAATGTTTGAAGCATGAATTTGGTAATATTATTGGTGATGAAAAGTATTTTTTTTTTTTAGTTTGCATTTTGGAAAACATGTATATAAATGTGTTTACAGTGTTATGTATTGTTTTTTGTTTCTTTTTCTTTTCTTGTAAAATTCAATAAAAATTAGTAAATAAAGAAGCTTGAGGTTAATTTAAAAAAAAATTTTTTAAAAGGCCTTTCAGAGCCTACACTTAGACTATATTGAACAACAGAGCGATAATCACAACAACAGTGAAGGAGATCCGTATTGTGTGCAGCAGTGCTGGTGGTGGGAGGATGCCACTGTCTTTGCTCACCTCACAAGCTACCTCTGGTTTCTGGAATGCAGTATGCTGAAAATGGGCCTGAAGGATTTCACACAAACTTTTTGTTGTGATTCCATGCTGCAACATTTTGTTGCACTTTGTAGCAGTATATTATCAAATACAGTATTGTTTACAATAGATCTCCCATTCCTGAGTATGGTGTCCCATGTGTTTGGATTTTCTTTCTTCCACATAATATTTTTCTAACCTGTGAGGGAGCCCCAAGAAAGCTAGGATGACTCCCCTCTTTGCACATGACAAGGGATAACTTTCTTACTTTTCACATGGGAGGGAGGAGTGACCTCCTGCTAAGTGTGAAGGGTATGGGTATGATTTCATTGGTCAATGATTTCTTTTGCAAACAGTCTTTCCTGTAAACGTTGGTTAAAGTATTTGTTTAAACTTGCAAAATCTTGCATAACATCTGTTTTCCTAGGACATTCCACTTAGTGTGCACAAATCAAAGACAGACATCTACAGAGGCACATGTCTACACAGTTATACTATATTTAAAAAAGAGGAAGACAGCAAGCTTACAATACCAACTTTGTTCTTACACTAAAAGTCTAACATCCAGCAAATGAAGGCAAGTGCAAAATTGCTGCTGGGGTGGGTGGGTATGGCCATACGATCTTAGAATTAAGGGAAAGGGTCCCTCTGTTCAGCTCATATCACAGTCCATGGTTCTTTCAAACAAAAATCACTCCAGAGTTTATTCACAAGCTTTATTTAGATGCTTAGACCAGTGTTTTTCAACCTTTTTGGGGGAAAGGCACACTTGTTTCATGAAAAAAAATCACGAGGCACACCACCATTAGAAAATGTTAAAAAATTTAACTCTGTGCCTATATTGACTATATATAAAGTAATTCTCTTGAATAGGAATCAAATAAACACAAAGAAAGTATTTTATAATTACTTTATTATGAAATAATAAGTAAACAGAAATGTGAAAAATTATAAAATACTTTATTTTTAAATCTTTCGAATTTTTCAATTTTTCCCACGGCACACCAGGCAACATCTCGTGGCACACTAGTGTGCCGCAGAACAGTGGTTGAAAAACACTGGCTTAGACAACATACATTTAAAGCACACGGCTCCCCCAAAGAATCCTGGGAACTGCACTTTATCTCTCATGGAGTTACCATTCCCAGCATCCTTAACAAACTACAGTTCCCAGGATTCTTTAGGGGGAATCATGTGCTCTAACTGTATGGTGTGTACACAGCCTGGCATGTTAGTGTGTCCTAGATACTGCACACAGTGCGGCAATAATGGCTCTAGGTTTTACTGGAAGTAAAGGTTCCAGCATCAATATATAGGCAGTAGTAAGGAATCTTTTTTTTATCAAAATGCGGGAGGCAGTGGAAGACAGGAGTGCCTGGCGTGCTCTGGTCCATGGGGTCATGAAGAGTCAGGCACGACTAAACGACTAAACAAAGGAATCTTTTTGGACGCGGGTGGCACTGTTGGTTAAACCACAGAGCCTAGGGTTTGCAGATCAGAAGGTTGGCGGTCCAAATCCCTGCGACGGGGTGAGCTCCCGTTGTTCGGTCCTACTCCTGCCAACCTAGCAGTTCAAAAGCATGTCAAAGTGCAAGTAGATAAATAGGTACCTCTCTGGCGGGAAGGTAAACGGCGTTTCCGTGCGCTGCTCTGGTTTGCCAGAAGCAGCTTAGTCATGCTGGCCACATGACCTGGAA